ATTTAATTTTTCATTATAATCAATAGACTAAGTTAAAATACCTAGTAGTCTAAATGAACTGTATGAACTGAATAAATAAGTGATAAGATCACAGAAGAAGTTTTGTGATCCCAGTTTCCACTTTCCAATACGTTTACAAGTACAACCATTCGCAACAATAAAATTAACATGGTATATACTGTATAGCTTATACTTTTCCACCCGTATTATTGAAATAAAATAGGTTATAAAAAGAAATGTGACCACAATTTATATGTCCGGGCCACTTAATTTCCCGGTCATGCCATGGCGCCACGCACAGGGGCCACAAGACACACGGCCTCCCCCCACCCCCACCCCCCCATAAAATCTGGGAAAGGGGCCAAAAATGGCCAATTTTTTTAGGTTTTAAACATTTTTAGGGGGAAAAAAAAATTTTTTTCGTTTTTTTTAACCGAAACTTTTAAGGGGGGGGACAATGGATATTTTTTTATGAAACTTGATTTCGAGATAGCAGTTGACCAACAAACTAGGACCAGTGACCGAACTTTTGAGGGGGTCCCGGACCCCAACCGCCAAACGGTGCCCGCGGGGCAGCCACGCCCATATTTGGTCCAAATTAGGCCCAATTTAGCCAAATACCCTGAACATGCCCAAAACCCAGATTTTATGTGCTCTACTTGTAGCTAGTGGTCTCCTGAACTCGTATATGAAATTTCACCAAGATTGGACAAAAAATGACTGAGTTATGGGCCAAAAACCATATGCCCATATTTGGGCATACGCACCAAATTTGGTAGATTTCGTCCCATAAATTAGGCAAATATCAATATTTTTAAATGAAACTTACTTAATAAGAAAGGTAAGGCTAGACTACATATTCTCTGTAAGTTATAGCTTTATATCTGTTTAAATGTGGATACTAAGGCGAAAAACCCACAAAAAATGAACTAAATTGCTCGTATCTTGGTTCGCGATATTCGCGGAATTGATTTCATTAAAATTGTAACAACTCAATCAGTTTTCAAAATTGAAATTTTCGGACTCGACTCGAAATCGCATTTCCACCTTATTTTGAGAACAGATTTTTGATTTAGGCCTCAAAAAAAAATTTGGCGGCCAAATTCCAAAATTTTCCCGGAAAAATTCAGAATTTGGCCGCCAAATTTTTTTTGAGGCCTAAATCAAAAATTTGTTCTCAAAATAAGGTGGAAATGCGATTTCGAGTCGATTCCGAAAATTTCATGACACAATTTTGAAAACTGATTGAGTTGTTACAATTTTAATGAGATCAATTCCGCGAATATCGCGAACCAAGATACGGGCAATTTAGTTCATTTTTTGTGGTTTTTTCGCCTTAGTATCCACATTTAAACAGATATAAAGCTATAACTGATAGAGAATATGTAGTTTAGCCTTACCTTTCATATAAAGTTAGTTTCATTTAAAAATATTGATATTTGCCTAATTTATGGGACGAAATCTACCAAATTTGGTGCGTATGCCCAAATATGGGCATATGGTTTTTGGCCCATAACTCAGTCATTTTTTGTCCAATCTTGGTGAAATTTCATATACGAGTTCAGGAGACCACTAGCTACAAGTAGAGCACCTAAAATCTGGGTTTTGGGCATGTTCAGGGTATTTGGCTAAATTGGGCCTAATTTGGACCAAATATGGGCGTGGCTGCCCCGCGGGCACCGTTTGGCGGTTGGGGTCCGGGACCCCTCAAAAGTTCGGTCACTGGTCCTAGTTTGTTGGTCAACTGCTATCTCGAAATCAAGTTTCACAAAAAAATATCCGTTGTCCCCCCCCCCCTTAAGATCAAAATTTTTCAAAGTTTTTCTGGAAACTACTTTTGTTCATCATCATGTTTCATGCTACCCTGATCATTATGAGCCGAAAATATTTTTTTTCGGTTTTCGAAGTCCGCACCTTCACCCCTTCGATATACTATTTTGGACTCCAGGGTTCCCCTTTGTAATGCGATCTCGGGAGGCAGGCCTCCCCTTACCAATACGAGCTCGAAAGCCGGAGCTCTGCCTTCGGCTTCAGAAGTATGTTTCGTGTAACTGTATCGAGAATGACTCGTACCGAAAATTTTCTGAGTAAAAATTTTTCAAAGTTTTTCTGGAAACTACTTCTGTTCATGTTTCATGCTACCCTGATCATTATGAGCCGAAAATATTGTGTCGGTTTTCTGAAGTCCGTACCTACATTCAGAAGGCTGTGGATGTGATTGGTTTCATATACTTATAGATTTATAGAAAACGTGATATTTGGCCCGCAGATTTGAAGGAAAATAGGTGAATTTGCCATTTGGTCTTCAGATTTAAAGAAAATGCGCAATTTGTCGTGGAGAACTGAAAAATCGCGATTTGTCGCGGCAAACGTGAAAAATCGCGATTTGTCGCGACAAACGTGAAAAATCGCGATTTTGCACATGCCGCAATTTCCTTTTGTCCTTGCCCCGAAAATTGCTTGAAATTCAGGCGCCAAAACATATTTAGAATTTAGCCGATGTAACCATGGCCCTTACTACCACTAGGTGGGAACTAAGTTCTATGAATGTCAGATTTCTGACGTCACTCTCCGTATATTCTTGCCCCGCATCAGGATACTGATAGTTCTAGCAGCATGTATTCCCAGGATCGGAATTTTCATTAGATTTACTTTAAGCAGAAGCTAAACCCTCCGCGGCCAATACCAGTAACATTTTTTATAGCAGACAAATATTATCATGTTAATTTGATTTTATAAAGCTAGGACTAGGAGCAAGTACAGGGTGAATATAAAAATAACTGCACTGAATTGGACTTTTTGACTAATTATTGCAAGACTGTGACCAGGCGGACTGGTTCTGAAATTGTATACTTTAGATATCTAGGAACTATAAACAAACATTTAATTACCCTAATCCTCATAATCCACTTGCAGGCCATATCAACTCTAGGTCCAGTCACAAACATCAAACAGAACTTACCGCCAGAGGATCCACCAACACTCCGATGGATAGCTGCTGTTAACCAGGTTTCCTGATTTAGTCTGGTGACTTTGTCGTCGATCAGGCGTTTGATGTAAAATTGTGGAATTGGGCACTTTAAAGTGGATTCACTGGTTGTGCCAGTCTTGGCCAGCTCATTTGCTTTTTCATTACCCCACAATCCGATGTATGCAGCTATCGATCGGATCTCTAGAGTGTTAGTGGATCCGAGTGCAAATTGATGGTGTCATAACAGTCTCTAGTATAGTTCTACTTCTCGTTGGGAGCGAGGATATAGCTTGTATAGAGGAGAGACTGTCTGACCATATGATGATGTGTGTGTTGGTATAAGTTGAGAGATATTTGCAAGCTTCGATGATGGCGGTGAGCTCTTTTTGATACAGATAAACAGTGCAATAATCGGGAAGCTTGAATTATCTTTCCTTTAGGGTGGTGTAATCGTTATTGTCACTTTGTCAGTAGTGATGATATAGCAAGCCCCGCTACCTGAGTTTGTGCGTGACCCGTCTGTGTAGCATCTCACTGGAGATGTTGTCGATGGTGTTTTGAAGTGAATCTCTATTATAGTCTATATTCAATTTTGTCAGCTCCAGGAGTGATGACTGTGAAATGCCGTTCAAGCATTTAGCATCATGGTTGGTATTTATAGGTCTCTCTCTCTCTCTCTCTCTGCTTTGGATGGTATGTTGAGATATACCATGAATTGTTTGTTGATAGTGGTGTGAGTTTTGATGGTACCTTTTTTGAAGGCGACAATTTCTAGGGTTAAGCTATATCTACGGCTACATATTACCGGGTGCACGCATTACAGGTAGCCGACGAAAAATCGATTTGCCAATCGTATTTTTCGGTTGCTGTATTATTATAGTGCTCGCTATTTCAATAATTAATTCTGATATTTGTTGAAGAATTGTGATCCAGCATACCTATAACCAATTTGCTGCACTGCAATATAAATGTTGCTTTAAACAGTTAAAGCTTTAACTCCGTCCCTAGATAAAACGCGAAATGTTTCATACTACCCCATCAGATGCTCTAATTTTGCAAGTTCCAACAATTTAGAGCAAAGCAACGAAAAATCGCGTGATCATTGCTAATGGCGTGATAATGAATTGGTATGCAAGATAGGCCAGTAGGCCAGCTCTGGTTGAATTTTATCATGCTGGAGTACGAACTTAAAAACAAAAATGAATTCTATCATATGAAGTTCTGCGAATCAATGTCGGCTTTATTGATCACATGACCGCTTTACCGTGCAAATATCACTAAGCAACTATAGCTAAAGCTTGCAACTACACGTAAAAATTTTAAAACTCAAGACTTTGATAATAAGTTCAACTTCATAAGCAGTGCATGTCATTCTTAACAGTTTGCTTAAAAAGGGCTGTTTAGTGTTTAGCGTTGAGGTTGTGCTTTGTTTGAAGTATGATTTCAAATTTTCCATATGCCAAATATTACATCCTTCTCCTAAAATTTAAACGGATACCGATTTTATAGTATAGGTTCTTTATAGGTTATACATCTACTATTAGCTGCAATCTAACCTCGGGCAGGGTAATTAAATAATAGTGGTATCGCATAATACCGATATAAATTATTCATACATTTATTTATTACGCATTTTAACTTAATAATCAATGATCTGTTCGTTTATTTTCCGACAAAGTGCTCGATAAAAATAGGAGCATATATAAATAGTTATTAGTTATAACTATCATTTCTATAGAAATCAATACAAATGGCAGCTTTGTTGCCAAATGCCATACGGTTGTTATTAGCTCAAATATTTTACAATTTTTCTAAATTAATTTGATAATGGTTTAATTTAAATATACTTGTATATTGGCTTTTATTAATACACAGCGCGCTGTCACGTGACTTGGCTTTTTGCCATTTTGTTACCAAACTTTTAGTTGCGCAACATTTTAGCCAATCACTATTTTAAACGTCTAAATTATAGCCGAAAAGGTATACAAATCCGTTTACTAATCTCACTGATAAAACTGCACATAACATTTAAAGCTTCTAATAGGCGCCGTTCCGATCGTCCACAAGAAAAAAGATTAGCTATGGCTGAAGATGGAGATGAACTACCGCAACCAAAGCTCAATGTATCGGGGTTGATCGGGCTCATCGTATTTTACCTCATCATCTTCGCTGCTGGGATACTTTCCCACAAGTGAGTGTTGTTATTACTTAGTGTTGCTTTTCGTAATTCTGTTTTTTTTTCTTTGCACTTTTCCCTGAAATTTGTAGCTATGACAAAATATTCGTGAGACAAAAAATCTTTGATTAGTTTATAATAATACTAGTGCCCTTAACGTGGATATCAAATTAAATACATTGATGAAGTTTGCACACATTCCATTTCCAGTCTTGGGATTTCAATATATATCGGCCACAAGTTACCTGGAAATTTATCGGACACAGCTGATCCCTATGAAAATAGAAAGGTGGAGCACTAGCAATTGATATCAGGCGATTTGAAGTTTTGCGAGTTGCTAGAACATACGATAATATTGTATCACAATCATATCAGGAGGGAACTTAATTGCATACTCAGGATCAGTCTGTGATTAGTGCAAATATCAAAGATCAGTAACTTTGGGTTAATAATCTGTAATCTCGTCCCCGATAGTATTACCTCACAATATAATATTCACATAAAGCACCTGCATACAGGAGAGTATCACAATCTTATTAAGTGTGCATTATGCATTATGCAACCATGAGCTGCTGGTCTTCTCTGCATTCGCATTTTCTACATTGACCAAGATAAAAACGTTCTTCAAGCTCCCCATATATGTATTTGAACTTTTCATTTAGGATTATTATTAAAGGAAATTCTTAATATTACAGAGCCAGGGTGTGGACTCATTGCTTAATATTTTTTCCCAAGAGTGCTGAAAAGGAAATCAAGGAAGCAAAAACAGAAGGAACAAGTTGAATCTAACGCCGAGGACATGATGTTGGCTGGCAGAGACATCAACTATTTTGTTGGTATTTTCACAATGACTGCCACTTGGGTCGGTGGTGGTTACATCAACGGTAAGTTGAACGTTGAATGGGTGTCCCACTTATCACCAAGTCAGCAAGAAAAATTTTTGTCATAGAGTTAATTCTGTTTTCGGTATTGTCAACATGCATGCTGTTGAACCATGCTATTTTGTAGCATGTAAAGATATCAAGGATCCTTCACTGGGAGACTTTGGGACCGGAAACTGATCCGGCCCCCAAAGAGGGGTCAGATCACGTCACCAATTAGTGACGTATAATTAGTGATGTGATCCATGGATTGAATTTAATTGACATAGAAATGGGCTAGATCTGGGGTAGAGTTCACATGTCAATTCTGTAAATCATAGCTGTACATTAAGAAGTAAACATGATCTGACTGCTCGACTCGTAGATCACATAAGGGACGGGAGCTCTTGCTAAAGGGGGGTTCTCGTATCAAGGGATGTGAGACGTACGTGTCAAAGGCATGCAAGGGGAGTGAACCGATCTAGTGTTCTAGGTATAAATATTGGGTGATAGAAGGTAGTAGTATCGCATTCTATCAACAGTCATGCCTACCTTCTCCAAGTTCCTCAACGGTTTCAGAGGATGTCAACATGTGCTTGATTCTGACGGATATATCTACAGCAGCAAGAAATATGATGACACCGTCCTCTCCTCTGCTTGGCGTTGCCAGAAGAACAAATCCCTTTGATGGGAAGACTGACCGAGATGTGAGAATCATAGCCTTCGCCACCAACAGGAACCCACAGCCAGAAACCATAGCAGACTAGCAGATAATCTGCAAGGAAATTTTCGATTTCGGAGGAAATTTTTGTTGCCAACGAGGAAATTTCAAAAGTTTACGATATTAATTTGAAAAATTTGGATACGAAGTTTATTGTTTACTGCGGCAAACATATCTTCAATTCCTGTCTGTGGCCTGTGCGAAAGTTTATGCACTCTACATTTCTCAGGATATGGTTGCCTCAACTCTGCAAGGCACATATAATAATTTGTGATAACGGGCCACAGAAAACAGAAAATTTGTATCTGCGAGGACATTTTTAGCTTTCTGGATGTGGGAACAGGAACCTTCACACTCCCGCAGAACACAACAATTGGATTGCCGACGGGACATTTTATGTCGCTCCAAAGATATTTCCCCAAAGTTACACCATACATTCGGTTTAATTTGTAGCTTCTATGTACAGAGTTGTCATATGAACTCTACCCCAGATCTAGCCCATTTCTAGGTCAATTATATTCAATCCATGCAATATCCATATATGTAATATGTACAAATATTTTATAATATATTGTATATAAGTATATATACATTAGCAATTCATGCCAAAAATAAGAAAATACACGTTTAACATCCAAAAAGCAGTGCGCGATAGAATTTAAAAAATCAAAAAGTAGATAAGGTCATGATTCTGTGCTGTTTTGTAAAGGTGTATTGTGACTCTAAAAACATCAATTATTCAGGAACCACGGAGTCTGTCATCAAGAATGGATTAGTTTGGACGCAGGCCCCCATTGGCTACTCGATCTCTCTGTTTCTGGGTGGAATATTGTTTGCTGAGAAAATGAGGACGATGTCTTTCGTAACGATGCTGGACCCGCTCCAAATTAAGTACGGGAAGCCACTTGGAGCACTCTTCTACATCCCTGCCTTCTCCGGAGAGGTAACTACTAATTTGTTCCAGGGAGCTGATAGGTATTATGGAACTCTCAGTATTAAACTTTTAGGAAACACTCTCAGTATATAGATGAGCTAACTAAAACTTGACTAAGAGCCAAGGTTGCACAGAAATGTTAAACTTTTAGGACACTCTCACTCTCAGTATATATAATATGAGCAAACTTGGCTCAGAGCCAAGGAAATGTTGACCCCTGCCAGTTCAGCTGAACCTTTCGAAAAACGTTGAATATTTCAGATCCTTTGGTCTGCCTCAATCCTTGCTGCTTTGGGAACATCTCTTCGAGTGATCTGTGGTATCAACGATACTGCTTCTATCATCGTCAGTGCTGCCATCGCAATGACATACACTCTGTTTGGAGGTATCATCAACGTTTAAAGAGTTAATTTAAATCATTAAAGTGTAGTTGTACGATTTAATTACAAATCATTTCACTTTAACTCATTAAGATACCTAAGATGTAGAATAAAAATTAGAATTTCACAAATTTTCACAAATTTTCACAAATTTTCACACATTTTCAGGACTATACTCGGTAGCGTTTACGGATATCATCCAGCTGATTTGTATCTTCGTCGGACTGATATTCTCCATTCCCTGGATGACTGGCCATGACGCTGTGACAGTGCCACTGCAGGCTAGCAATGTCTCTATGTTTGGACCAGATCAGCCGTACTCGAAATTCTATGGAAAGTTGGAGAAAAACGATGTGGGAGTTTGGGTATGAAAATTGCACCAGCTTTTCTTTTAAGATAAAGTCTTGAAAGTATGTTTGAGAAAATACATAGATCACTCAACAGTTGACAAACGAAATCTATATCGGATAAATTTGTCTACTAAAACTTGCCCTCTCTTCCCAGATTGATTACGCCATTATGCTGATCTTCGGAGGAATCCCATGGCAAGCATACTTCCAGAGAGTGCTGTCCGCAAGAAGCGTCAGTGTTGCTAAAACACTTTCTTTCTGCGCTGCGTTCGGTTGCTTCTGTGCTGCAATCCCCTCCATTGTCATCGGTTAGTGTAACTTGTTTAAAGTTAATATTCTCAAGTTCCTCTCTATCTTATAGGCAGTCTATTGAACTCAATTCATTGGTAATAAAGTTTAAAAGTTGATAACTTCGAGGACAGATCATTTTGTAAACTCTACAAATCATTTTGTAAACTCTACATGTCATTTTGTAAACTCTACAAATCATTTTGTAAAGTAAACTCTACAAATCATTTTTAAAACTCCAGTACTGATCACCATGACCACCACACGATTGATCGTTCTACAATTTCAGGATTGATTACAATGAATACTGACTGGCCAAACACAGAGTACGCTCAGAAGCTGGTGAAGGATGACTACAAACTGGCAGTACCACTGACTCTGCTCTATCTTACTCCCCCTGCTGTTGCCTTTATTGGTAAGAAAATAAATATCTTTCAATAACCTCCAACATCGATCCTGAGTGGTAAGAATGTTTTACATTTTTCATTAGTCTGGAGAATAACGGAGAATATAACGGAGTCCGAATGTATGTAGGGAGACAGTGCCAAGACGAGTGATGTTATTTTATTAGCCGAAAACGTGACAAAAATAAATTTCACCTAATATTCTTATCCTTCAGACCTAGGTGCATGTAAGTACAACTTTAATGCCCTGAACTAATAATTCAATCCTCCAGGTCTAAAAATGCAGTCACTGCTCATTTGATAACCTCAGCTGATTGTTTTACACTTTTTCAGGTCTTGGTGCAGTCAGTGCTGCTGTGATGAGCTCCACTGATAGTTCTATCCTGGGGGTTAGCACTATGTTCACTAGGAATGTTTTTGTTAACGTTTTCTATCAGAAAGCGAGCGATAGGTGAGGCATGTTCATCCATTGAGGGAAAATGAGATGAGGGATGTAATTTAATCTAATGATAATATTTCAGTTACTTTCAGTGAATGATAACGATTTTGATTTATTAATCAGAGACAATTAACAAATCAAAAAGTAATGAAAAAAATTAGGAGCTAATGAGCAATTTCTGACCCATTATGTTTCAGGGTGACAGTTTGGTTCCTGAGAGCCACTATTCTTGTCAACACTATTATTGCTATGTTGATCGCCATTTTCGTCAAAACTGTCTACGGACTCTACCTCATTTGCAGGTTTTTATTCACGAATTTTCTCTATTCTATCAGCAAAAATTAAAAAAAACCCCGAATGAATAATTGTAATTGAATTTAAACTTTGGGCCGCTAACTGGGCGGCGATCAGCCTGTCATTCCGCCAAATTTCTATTTATGAACATGATAGCCTGGGGTCCCCAGGTAATGGGCCGCTTGATGAAATTAAATCTTCTCAGTGACCTGGTGTTCATCCTCCTCTTCCCTCATCTGGTTTTGGTGGTACACTTCCCCCATCGCACCAACAAGTACGGAATGGTCCTAGGTTTCTCCATCGCCCTGCTCCTTCGAGTACTGTCCGGTGAACCAGTTCTGAAATACAATGCTATCATCAAGTGGGCCGGATATGTTGAACCCTCTACTGACAGTTATGTAAGTTTTCAGAATCAGCATTTCCCAATTTTTAACACCTCCCCACTCTTGGTTCTGAGTTTTCTGTCAATTGCCAGGATTATATTATTATAAACCCCTCCGGGATAGAATAAGATTATGATAATCCCGGCTCCCGCTAAATAGATTCTGATAATCCCGGCTCCCGCTGTTAGTTTTTTCCCGCTTAATAAATAACCCCGGCACAGCTTTTATAATCCCGCCCCGCTAATTTGGCTCAACAAGATTTGTTTTGTTTTGACATTCGATGAGAATTTCAACCGCGTACTGTCACGTGTTTTGATGACGTGTATCACGTGACTAACTACTACGACGCGCATTGGTAAAAAATGTCACGTGACCTATGGCTTAACGTAAGAACTATAAATACACTCGATCTACGTATCGGTCTAATTGCAGGCGCTGGCAAAACTCCAGCACACTGCTTACATTACTTAAACTCTTACATTAATTGGACCAGTTCCAAAACTTGTCTCGACGGTTACATTTGATTTTGTCCGGTTCGGTTAATTTTGTCGTGTTTGATATAAGCCATGTATTATAGTCGTCTACTTTGATAAACTTCATGACACGATATCATTATTAGCTTTTATCGCTTGCCAGGCTTAACTCGACGCCCCTTATCGATATTCATATTCATTCAACGTTCTGACTGAGGAATAATGTTTAGATATAACGCCAATTTCAAAAGTCATAGTACCTTAGTTGTATTTATTTGGTAGTCCCCAATTCCATTTCATATTTTCCATAATGATCTCATAATCATATAGCTATATTTAAGAGTAAAATGTCAAATTTGTTGGTCCTAGCACTAACCCGGAGGGGTTTATAACACATAACACCGGCACGCTTAAGTTATATTAAAATAACTGTCCGGTGAACCAGTTCTGAAATACAATGCTATCATCAAGTGGGCCGGATATGTTGAACCCTCTACTGACAGTTATGTAAGTTTTCAGAATCAGCATTTCCCAATTTTTAACACCTCCCCACTCTTGGTTCTGAGTTTTCTGTCTTGCCAGGATTATATTATTATGTTTTGCTATTTCAATATCATTATTGGTGATTGTTACAGGGAGAACCAGTGTACGGTCGACAAAGGTTCCCCTTCCGTAACCTCATCATGGCTCTGAACTTCATCATTACTTTGTCTACAACCTGGGTGACACAGCAGCTCTTCAAAAGATGTAAGACACATTTTTTTAAAGACTTGCAGATCATTCACTTGATGCTATTTCTAACAAATTTAAAGATCGTATCTGCTAGATTAATTACTACAACCAACTTATTTCAGACCCTCATCTGCTGAAGTACGACTTTTTGGACGCCCAGAGTATGCCTGTCAGTCCTATGACACCCGTCCAGCCCGAGATCAGGCAAAAGGAAACATCATCGTAGATGTAACATGCGATACATCTACTTAGTCGTGCTTTCCTAAATTCCTAGCACTGTCGGCTGTAAGTGTAGCTGATGATCAAGGAGAATAAAAGAAGATTGGTTACATGAGCTTGCCGGATGTATATCTCAATTACGTAGCTTAGTGTTCAACTAACTTATAATTGTCGCTGTGGGCCTGCCACTGTGGGCCTACCGCTGTGCGCCTGCTGCTGTGCGCCTGCTGCTGTGCGCCTGCTGCTGTGCGCCTGCTGCTGTGGGCCTGCTGCTGTGGGCCTGCTGCTGTGGGCCTGCTGCTGTGGGCCTGCTGCTGTGGGCCTGCTGCTGTGGGCCTGCTGCTGTGGGCCTGCTGCTGTGGGCCTGCTGCTGTGGGCCTGCTGCTGTGGGCCTGCTGCTGTGGGCCTGCTGCTGTGGGCCTGCTGCTGTGGGCCTGCTGCTGTGGGCCTGCCACTGTGGGCCTGCTGCTGTGGGCCTGCTGCTGTGGGCCTGCTGCTGTGGGCCTGCTGCTGTGGGCCTGCTGCTGTGGGCCTGCTGCTGTGGGCCTGCTGCTGTGGGCCTGCCACTGTGGGCCTGCTGCTGTGGGCCTGCTGCTGTGGGCCTGCTGCTGTGGGCCTGCTGCTGTGGGCCTGCTGCTGTGGGCCTGCTGCTGTGGGCCTGCTGCTGTGGGCCTGCTGCTGTGGGCCTGCTGCTGTGGGCCTGCTGCTGTGGGCCTGCTGCTGTGGGCCTGCTGCTGTGGGCCTGCTGCTGTGGGCCTGCTGCTGTGGGCCTGCTGCTGTGGGCCTGCTGCTGTGGGCCTGCTGCTGTGGGCCTGCCGCGCGATGGCCATTCTGACCAACCGCACTAATCTTCTTCATTATTAAACTCCCATACATACGTTTAATTCAATATGAATAGACTTAAACATGTTAAAGTGATGATACTTTATTTTAGTTAGCTAGTTTTGCGCAATTCGCCAGGTATATTCGCGCGTGGCGGGCCTATACAATATACTATTATAACGTGAGGCAAATATTAAAATAAAAATGCAGTTATTTGGATAGATTGTTGAAAGTTTAAGTTCATTTTAATCTAATGATATTAGTATTATATTACTTTAACCTTACTGTTTACTAAGTATTTTTCTGATTTTGTGAGACCCGTGTGTTTGCTTTGTTTTAAACTTCCTGCTCCTGAGGAGAGAATTTTTTGAGGAGAGCTGCTTGATATATTTCAAAGTTCTCTGAGCAGGCAAGGCTATCATATTTGTAAAGGGGGGAGGGGGGGGGGGGGATTGGCCTGCCCTGTCTCATATTGCTGGCCACGGACTAGTCGTTCTTTTTAATTCGACGGTGTCATACGTACTTTTCAATTTTTATTGAAAAGTACTGTCACAAAAACTATTTTGAAAAGATTTGAAAAACGACTGTTTATTATTTTTATTTCCCGTACCTTATATTATGACATCATGACTCACAGATCTCTGGTTACCGAGCAAATTCGGAGCTAAAACTGCTTAGTTTTTGGTTCTAAAGTTCCGTGAATTCTTAAATTCCACGAACAGATCAATTAAAGGCAAGATTACCGATCTGTTGTTTACGTTTGGTATGTGTTTTAGCTGACACTGGCAGGTAGCAATCATGATGTCACGTTTTAACGATAAGAAAATATCACGCCATGACTGCTTTTTTGAAATTATCCTCTGCTAAATCGTGATAGTTGTGATTAATAAACTCTCAGAACCGCAAAATATCTCGTTTTTAGCATTTCAACTTCAAGTATTTGCTGTAAATAATTTACTTATGTTTATGTAATCATATAAATTACGAAAAACTAATTCGAAAAAACTGTTAAAATATTTTCGAATTAGTTTTCCATAATGCCGAAAATGTTGACTTATAAAATTTTGGTCCGAGTCATTCTGATCGAAGTCGATACGTACCTCTGAGGGCAGGATTCTGTCCTAACTATGCTTAGGATCTTGTTCTCCGGATGCTAAATTTATAAATTAGGACAAGAGCGAGTCTGTTCACCTTCCAAAAGCCGTACAACTACAAGTTGGGCAGAAGCTTCCCCTCTAATTTTGTGTTACTAATTTTCAAAATTTTGGCCCAAAATGAAATTTTCACCAAAGCTTCTTCATACTTTTATATATCCACAAATTGAAATATCCTGAAATCACGTACATTCAATTGAGATGCAAGTTATAGTTAGACACCTGTGAATATTCCTGAGCTTTGTTAAAGTTAACACCTGAGCATATGGCTGCTCATAAATTCATTTCACAGCACATCAAAATCAATTTACTGTAGTCTAACAAAATCTACAGAAAGTGTGAATATTGTTAAGTTGTTAATTTTAGCCGCTATGAGAAAGAGAGCATTGGATTTGGCTTTACGAATTACGGTCACAAACAGTTCCCTCGTATTGAGATTTTATTCGTAAAATTTTGGAGCTCATAAATTTCTTTTCTACTTTCAGTCAAAAAATTTTGTAAAGTAATAAACTGGCTCTCACAAGATTAAACATTGAATAATGTCAAACGCAGTATTAAGCCGTATGAAAGTAAACGAATAAATATCTCAAATATATCAACTGCTATATCCCAAGAACATTTCGAACTTTTCGGACACCATGTGCGATAAAAAAATCGCGTCATAATAGCAGAATAACATTTTATCTTTATCAAACATCATTATCTTTCCTTACCTAACAAAGCGTCTTTTGTTTGATTGCTAGATGCTTATGAAATTTCTTGGAAATAAGCACTAAGGGCTCGTTGATCTAATTGACATAATCGAAATTATCAATTATTTCCTAATGTACTTGTGTGACGTGTGTGAACTGGTGAGTTGTGGGGTTTGGTGCAATTTATTTGTTTTTTTTTCGTTCGTTATCCTTATTTAAACCGCCCGTCTGTAGGGCTCGTTCACAAGGAGTATTGTGAAGCCATGTAATCAAGTTGATTGTTTGTTCGTTGGTTGAAATTCGGAATAAAATCCCCTAGATATAGAATACCTATGTTTTTCTAACTTTAAACTTTACCGAAAGAATAAAATATTACTCACATCACCTCTGCTTTTTCTTTTGACGACGTAACCCATTTTCAAAATGTAATTAGTCTACATGGTTCAGAGAATCTTAAAACCCATTATATATATACATTCCCCAGAAGATGTACCGAAGTTTGGGGTTGCTATCCTTGATCCTGGTCTCCGTCGTGTCACTAAGATGTGACTACAAGGGTTACAAGGATGTCACGGACCGGCCTGTCGAATCTATGGAGTGGTTTAATACACTTTCTGAATCCTGGTAAATTATTCATCATCACTCGTTAATCTGCCAACTAATCCTGGTAAATTATTCATCATCACTCGTTAATCTACCAACTAATCCTGGTAAATTATTCATCATCACTCGTTAATCTGCCAACTAATCCTGGTAAATTATTCATCATCACTCGTTAATCTGCCAACTAATCCTGGTAAATTATTCATCATCACTCGTTAATCTGCCAACTAATCCTGGTAAATTATTCATCATCACTCGTTAATCTGCCAACTAATCCTGGTAAATTATTCATCATCACTTGTTAATCTGCCAACTAATCCTGGTAAATTATTCATCATCACTCGTTAATCTGCCAACTAATCCTGGTAAATTATTCATCATCACTCGTTAATCTGCCAACTAATCCTGGTAAATTATTCATCATCACTCGTTAATCTTCCAACTAATCCTGGTAAATTATTCATCATCACTCGTTAATCTGCCAACTAATCCTGGTAAATTATTCATCATCACTCGTTAATCTGCCAACTAATCCTGGTAAATTATTCATCATCACTCGTTAATCTGCCAACTAATCCTGGTAAATTATTCATCATCACTCGTTAATCTGCCAACTAATCCTGGTAAATTATTCATCATCACTTGTTAATCTGCCAACTAATCCTGGTAAATTATTCATCATCACTCGTTAATCTGCCAACTAATCCTGGTAAATTATTCATCATCACTCGTTAATCTGCCAATTAATCCTGGTAAATTATTCATCATCACTCGTTAATCTGCCAACTAATCCTAGTAAATTATTCATCATCACTCGTTAATCTGCCAACTAATCCTGGTAAATTATTCATCATCACTCGTTAATCTGCCAACTAATCCTGGTATATTATTCATCATCACTCGTTAATCTGCCAACTAATCCTGGTAAATTATTCATCATCACTCGTTAATCTGCCAACTAATCCTGGTAAATTATTCATCATCACTCGTTAATCTGCCAACTAATCCTGGTAAATTATTCATCATCACTCGTTAATCTGCCAACTAATCCTGGTAAATTATTCATCATCACTCGTTAATCTGCCAACTAATCCTGGTAAATTATTCATCATCACTCGTTAATCTACCAACTAATCCTGGTAAATTATTCATCATCACTCGTTAATCTGCCAACTAATCCTGGTAAATTATTCATCATCACTCGTTAATCTGCCAACTAATCCTGGTATATTATTCATCATCACTCGTTAATCTGCCAACTAATCCTGGTAAATTATTCATCATCACTCGTTAATCTGCCAACTAATCCTGGTAAATTATTCATCATCACTCGTTAATCTGCCAACTAATCCTGGTAAATTATTCATCATCACTCGTTAATCTACCAACTAATCCTGGTAAATTATTCATCATCACTCGTTAATCTGCCAACTAATCCTGGTAAATTATTCATCATCACTCGTTAATCTGCCAACTAATCCTGGTAAATTATTCATCATCACTCGTTAATCTGCCAACTAATCCTGGTAAATTATTCATCATCACTCGTTAATCTTCCAACTAATCCTGGTAAATTATTCATCATCACTCGTTAATCTGCCAACTAATCCTGGTAAATTATTCATCATCACTCGTTAATCTGCCAACTAATCCTGGTAAATTATTCATCATCACTCGTTAATCTACCAACTAATCCTGGTAAATTATTCATCATCACTCGTTAATCTGCCAACTAATCCTGGTAAATTATTCATCATCACTCGTTAATCTACCAACTAATCCTGGTAAATTATTCATCATCACTCGTTAATCTGCTAACTAATCCTGGTAAATTATTCATCATCACTCGTTAATCTACCAACTAATCCTGGTAAATTATTCATCATCACTCGTTAATCTGCCAACTAATCCTGGTAAATTATTCATCATCACTCGTTAATCTGCCAATTAATCCTGGTAAATTATTCATCATCACTCGTTAATCTGCCAACTAATCCTAGTAAATTATTCATCATCACTCGTTAATCTGCCAACTAATCCTGGTAAATTATTCATCATCACTCGTTAATCTGCCAACTAATCCTGCTAAATTATTCATCATCACTCGTTAATCTGCCAACTAATCCTGGTAAATTATTCATCATCACTCGTTAATCTGCCAACTAATCCTGGTAAATTATTCATCATCACTCGTTAATCTGCCAACTAATCCTGGTAAATTATTCATCATCACTCGTTAATCTGCCAACTAATCCTGGTAAATTATTCATCATCACTCGTTAATCTGCCAACTAATCCTGGTAAATTATTCATCATCACTCGTTAATCTGCCAACTAATCCTGGTAAATTATTCATCATCACTCGTTAATCTGCCAACTAATCCTGGTAAATTATTCATCATCACTCGTTAATCTGCCAACTAATCCTGGTAAATTATTCATCATCACTCGTTAATCTGCCAACTAATCCTGGTAAATTATTCATCATCACTCGTTAATCTACCAACTAATCCTGGTAAATTATTCATCATCACTCGTTAATCTACCAACTAATCCTGGTAAATTATTCATCATCACTCGTTAATCTGCCAACTAATCCTGGTAAATTATTCATCATCACTCGTTAATCTGCCAACTAATCCTGGTAAATTATTCATCATCACTCGTTAATCTGCCAACTAATCCTGGTAAATTATTCATCATCACTCGTTAATCTACCAACTAATCCTGGTAAATTATTCATCATCACTCGTTAATCTGCCAACTAATCCTGGTAAATTATTCATCATCACTCGTTAATCTGCCAACTAATCCTGGTAAATTATTCATCATTACTCGTTAATCTGCCAACTAATCCTGGTAAATTATTCATCATCACTCGTTAATCTACCAACTAATCCTGGTAAATTATTCATCATCATTCGTTAATCTACCAATTAATCCTGGTAAATTATTCATCATCACTCGTTAATCTACCAACTAATCCTGGTAAATTATTCATCATCACTCGTTAATCTGCCAACTAATCCTGGTAAATTTTTCATCATCACTCGTTAATCTGCCAACTAATCCTGGTAAATTATTCATCATCACTCGTTAATCTGCCAACTAATCCTGGTAAATTATTCATCATCACTCGTTAATCTGCCAACTAATCCTGGTAAATTATTCATCATCACTCGTTAATCTACCAATTAATCCTGGTAAATTATCGATCATCACTCGTTAATCTGCCAACTAATCCTGGTAAATTATTCATCATCACTCGTTAATCTGCCAATTAATCCTGGTAAATTATTCATCATCACTCGTTAATCTGCCAACTAATCCTGGTAAATTATTCATCATCACTCGTTAATCTGCCAACTAATCCTGGTAAATTATTCATCATCACTCGTTAATCTGCCAACTAATCCTGGTATATTATTCATCATCACTCGTTAATCTGCCAACTAATCCTGGTAAATTATTCATCATCACTCGTTAATCTGCCAACTAATCCTGGTAAATTATTCATCATCACTCGTTAATCTGCCAATTAATCCTGGTAAATTATTCATCATCACTCGTTAATCTGCCAATTAATCCTGGTAAATTATTCATCATCAGTCGTTAATCTACCAACTAATCCTGGTAAATTATTCATCATCACTCGTTAATCTACCAACTAATCCTGGTAAATTATTCATCATCACTCGTTAATCTGCCAACTAATCCTGGTAAATTATTCATCATCACTCGTTAATCTGCCAACTAATCCTGGTAAATTATTCATCATCACTCGTTAATCTACCAATTAATCCTGGTAAATTATCTATCATCACTCGTTAATCTGCCAACTAATCCTGGTAAATTATTCATCATCACTCGTTAATCTGCCAACTAATCCTGGTAAATTATTCATCATCACTCGTTAATCTGCCAACTAATCCTGGTAAATTATTCATCATCACTCGTTAATCTGCCAATTAATCCTGGTAAATTATTCATCATCACTCGTTAATCTACCAACTAATCCTGGTAAATTATTCATCATCATTCGTTAATCTACCAATTAATCCTGGTAAATTATTCATCATCACTCGTTAATCTACCAACTAATCCTGGTAAATTATTCATCATCACTCGTTAATCTGCCAACTAATCCTGGTAAATTATTCATCATCACTCGTTAATCTGCCAACTAATCCTGGTAAATTATTCATCATCACTCGTTAATCTGCCAACTAATCCTGGTAAATTATTCATCATCACTCGTTAATCTACCAACTAATCCTGGTAAATTATCTATCATCACTCGTTAATCTGCCAACTAATCCTGGTAAATTATTCATCATCACTCGATAATCTGCCAATTAATCCTGGTAAATTATTCATCATCACTCGTTAATCTGCCAACTAATCCTGGTAAATTATTCATCATCACTCGTTAATCTGCCAACTTATCCTGGTAAATTATTCATCATCACTCGTTAATCTACCAATTAATCCTGGTAAATTATCGATCATCACTCGTTAATCTGCCAACTAATCCTGGTAAATTATTCATCATCACTCGTTAATCTGCCAATTAATCCTGGTAAATTATTCATCATCACTCGTTAATCTGCCAACTGATCCTGGTAAATTATTCATCATCACTCGTTAATCTGCCAACTAATCCTGGTAAATTATTCATCATCACTTGTTAATCTGCCAACTAATCCTGGTAAATTATTCATCATCACTCGTTAATCTGCCAACTAATCCTGGTAAATTATTCATCATCACTCGTTAATCTGCCAACTAATCCTGGTAAATTATTCATCATCACTCGTTAATCTGCCAACTAATCCTGGTAAATTATTCATCATCACTCGTTAATCTGTCAATTAATCCTGGTAAATTATTCATCATCACTCGTTAATCTACCAACTAATCCTGGTAAATTATTCATCATCACTCGTTAATCTACCAATTAATCCTGGTAAATTATTCATCATCACTCGTTAATCTGCCAACTAATCCTGGTAAATTATTCATCATCACTCGTTAATCTGCCAACTAATCCTGGTAAATTATTCATCATCACTCGTTAATCTGCCAACTAATCCTGGTAAATTATTCATCATCACTCGTTAATCTGCCAACTAATCCTGGTAAATTATTCATCATCAATCGTTAATCTGCCAACTAATCCTGGTAAATTATTCATCATCACTCGTTAATCTGCCAACTAATCCTGGTAAATTATTCATCATCACTCGTTAATCTGCCAACTAATCCTGGTAAATTATTCATCATCACTCGTTAATCTGCCAACTAATCCTGGTAAATTATTCATCATCACTCGTTAATCTGTCAATTAATCCTGGTAAATTATTCATCATCACTCGTTAATCTACCAACTAATCCTGGTAAATTATTCATCATCACTCGTTAATCTACCAATTATTCCTGGTAAATTATTCATCATCACTCGTTAATCTGCCAACTAATCCTGGTAAATTATTCATCATCACTCGTTAATCTGCCAACTAATCCTGGTAAATTATTCATCATCACTCGTTAATCTGCCAACTAATCCTGGTAAATTATTCATCATCACTCGTTAATCTGCCAACTAATCCTGGTAAATTATTCATCATCAATCGTTAATCTACCAATTAATCCTGGTAAATTATCTATCATCACTCGTTAATCTGCCAACTAATCCTGGTAAATTATTCATCATCACTCGTTAATCTGCCAATTAATCCTGGTAAATTATTCATCATCACTCGTTAATCTGCCAATTAATCCTGGTAAATTATTCATCATCACTCGTTAATCTGCCAACTAATCCTGGTAAATTATTCATCATCACTCGTTAATCTACCAATTAATCCTGGTAAATTATCTATCATCACTCGTTAATCTGCCAACTAATCCTGGTAAATTATTCATCATCACTCGTTAATCTGCCAATTAATCCTGGTAAATTATTCATCATCACTCGTTAATCTACCAATTAATCCTGGTAAATTATTCATCATCACTCGTTAATCTACCAACTAATCCTGGTAAATTATTCATCATCACTCGTTAATCTGCCAATTAATCCTGGTAAATTATTCATCATCACTCGTTAATCTACCAATTAATCCTGGTAAATTATTCATCATCACTCGTTAATCTACCAACTAATCCTGGTAAATTATTCATCAACACTCGTTAATCTACCAGCCAACTCTGGAAGATCTGATATTGATGAGGCTAACAGAGTAACAGAGATTTCTGATATTGATGATACTAATACTACTAGTAAGAGCCAAATCTTATAGAGGTCATCCGGTCAAAAATAATCACGACAGTGACAACACGATATAGTATATACAGTGACATATCATTATCAACACATTACAACAATACAACAGACAAGATGAGCAGGTACCAAACCAACAAACGGGGGCTGTTCAACATGGTGAAGGAATCAGTAAACGTGAAGTTGGTGTCCGGGTTACCGGACTGGATCCTATCTCTGGAGCTGGAGAGGTTAGAGTTTTCGGAGGGCACCGTCCCAGCCATCACTAGAGTTAGAACTGACCAGGTATTCAAATATGTGGAATAATTGAATTTTTTTGTTTTTGTATGCTGTAAAGCTCCAAATTGGGCTTTGAGGGCTACATTGTCATATAGGGAGAAATCAAATAAATTAATATCAAATTCAAAAAGAAAATTTATATGAAACAAATATAAATTTGAGAACCGCGATGGTTTCACGTGCCAAATACGATTTTTAGAACACACCTACTTAACGGTCTCGTGTTACAGGATATGGTAAGATGTCTGAATGAGGTTAACCAAGAGGTGAAGCTGCGGCGTGTTACCTTCGACATGAACATTCTTCTACACAGCAAGGGATCTATCGCTCTCCTCGCCATCAAGGTGAGTTTAACATCATAAACCTCACATTATAAACCTCACATTATAAACCTCACATTATAAACCTCACATTATAAACCTCACATTATAAACCTCACATTATAAACCTCACATTATAAACCTCACATTATAAACCTCACATTATAAACCTCACATTATAAACCTCACATTATAAACCTCACATTATAAACCTCACATTATAAACCTCACATTATAAACCTCACATTATAAACCTGCAGCATTAATCATAATTTTCTGCATGCACATTTGATTCCGAATGAAGACTATAACTTGACGAATTGTTTAGGTTATTAGCTGGGCCAGTCAGAAAAATTTGGCGCGATCTTCAAGTCACTTCCTGTTTGTGAAACAGACCCTCTAGTAAAATGGGACTCATTCTGTCAGGCTGTCACCCCGACACTCCGCCATATCTTCGAGTGTGTTTATAAACACTGAGATCCCCAGGTAAGTGGATATTTACCAAGTAATTTTAAATCAACATTTGCAGCTACTTCTCGGTGTAAGTGGACAGTTGTCTCTCAATGGAGTGACTCTTATGGCCCAAGCAAGACTAGAAATCCTGATGAACACTAAACAAGAATTCCCTGGTCTTGTCAGTGCTACTTTCTCTTTCACTGAGAGGTTACTTTGTCTTTCACTGAGAGGTTTTGTTTCGTTGTCAATAAATCCTTGATAGAATACGAATAATCATCATCTTAAGTTATATGACCAATATAATAAATCAACATTCTGCATTCCCAAAACCATTAACAAACAAAATGAATGGAAAACGATCAAGTTTAAATTGATCGAGCTTCAGCTTGTTCATCTTACAGTTTGAGTTACACATTTACAGTTACCTTGACACAAGCCTTGTTCAGGCCGCATTTTGCTTGCAATGTGGACATGTACAATCTGATCGGGCTTGACACGTTTGGTATTGACAAATGGGTAAACGAAAAAGTTGAAGATATAATACAGCAGCGTGAGATTTACAATAATTTTTTTTACAATAAGTTTTAATGATCTTAAAATGTAGAATTTAAAATCTCGTCATTCTGATGTGGAAACAAAATGATTTGGTATCGGGTTATGGGATTTGATAAATTGAGTTCGGCTAATCAGCATAACATAATTAGTGGCAGCATCCGGCAGTATGGAAGGAAGATGCCAGCTGTACTAATTATCTTAAAACGATATTTCGAGTTCAACTTTAATCATTTCCAGAACTGGTTTACCCTGGAATGTTGTTTATGGATCTAACAGGTCTATCTACCGGACAAGCTGTTCAGACATCTCTTCTTAGCGGCATACACGGCGGTGAGTTTTGTTCCTATTTGTTGTTTTATTTTATTTGTTGTTGTTACTTTAACTTATTGAGATATAATTTGCATTTCCGAAGTCAGTTTTCAAGTTCGACGCATGATAACTATAAAGCTATACCCTGCCTCATTCTTAAACTTCTTTGTAGACTAATGATGATTATAACACTACTTATTGTGAGGTTTTTGCTGGGGTTTAATGATCATATTTTCTCAGATTTCAAAGAGTGGCCCGCAGCTTATTCAGTAGCTGTAAAAATCAGCCCTGCAGATGATAACACGAACGGTTAAGTTTTTTAATATTCTGAAACTGTTTCGTTTTTTAGTGTTAACAATGTTTATGTTTTGATCAGTTTATCACTATAAGCAATCGGGATCTTGCATTTAATCCTCCACAGTTAACAATAATAATAATAATAATAATATTTATTATATTTATTTGTATAATTTGTGATTGTTTCTCCCGGTTTTCTTCCCTTGCGTAGCAAGCCCTGTCTCTTGTAAAAACAACCTCGAAAGATTTGTAGATACACATAGTCTCTACACCTTTACCCTCTGGTCCCTAGGGTCAGCTGATCCCGGGCCAGAGGAAAACTACCGACTGCCAAGGTTTGACGCCTAGGCAGTCGAGACCTCTTATTGAGACCCTTTATAATAATAATAATAACAAAGTATTTATATCCCGCTCATATTAGCAACTAGTAACCAAGAATGGTACTAGCTACTAATGTCAGAGCGGCTGTCCAAACAAAGATAAAACTTTAATAATTTAGAATTCTCCAACAAAAAATTCTCAATTTCCTTTAAACTGCTTATTAGTAACACTAACGTCTAAAAACTACCTTATCGGACCTTATTTGGACGGACATTACATGAACGGACATAATTATGAACGGACATTAATATGAACGCTCGAAGGCATTCAAAACCATCAAAAATCCGAATTTTTTTGACGTTTTTTTTAATTTCAGCAAATGATTTTTAAATCCATTTTTTATACAGTAAGTAAGAAAAGCAGTCATTAAGCAGCAAAAATGTTAAAATATGTGTACATGATCAGTTTTTAATATCACATATCATCTTCATCAAATGGGTTTTCGTGCATGAAATAGTCCATGCTTAAAAGCTTAAAGCATCAGTGATTTCTAGCTTTATAGAAAACTTTTTTATCAAACTACCCCGGTCCTGCATTTCAGTGTTAACTTTTACAAGCCATTCGGCGTGAAGTGGTTTTATCTTAGACAACTTAAGGTTAACCTTAACATCACGTGGAGCTTTCCTATCACTGTTTCATTACCTCCCGGTCCCCTCAGTAATATGAACTATAACAACGTCGGACAATGTCCTTGGCAACACGATTTACCGTAATATCTAGAGGCTGGAACAAGTTTGTCATGTTGGCGGGGACTAGTTCATGAACTATGTTGTGGAGTGCCATAATTTCGTTGACTTTTTTCCGCCAAGTGACCCTTCAAAACATCATATACTAGTAGAGTTTTCTGTGCCTCCAGCAGACCAAGGAGAACCTTTCCATCGTTAACTTACGGCACAATAAAGTTCTCAAAGTTGTCATATTCTGGACAAAAAGTTCGAAATGGAAAAATGTTTGAAAAAATTTCAACGGACTTTAACTTGGACGGACATTAATTGAACGGACTTTATTTGAACGGACATTAAGATGAACGCTAGGGCCTCCAGCGTTTAAGTAATGTCCGTCCAAATAAGGTCCGATAAGGTATATTATACGACAGACATGGTGGTACAATCAGACATCAGATGGAATAAACTATAAGAGAAAAATAATAATCTCGACACGTCATAATGGTTACCTTTATCTATTCAAAAGAATTTAATTAATTGAACTTCATTATACACTCTTCTTTATTTGTAGATCAAAACAACAAACACAAACTGAGGCCTGCATCCCCGTCAATACTTCAATACCACACAATCAATAAAAGTAAAGTTTACCAGTGTCTGTTTTAGAAAGTGAGTTTGTGGTTAAAGTTGGTAGTGTGGATGACTCAGCTCCTCACATGGAACGAATAAAACACAGTGGCGAAGTACAATTCGACTTGGCTCTTCAATCCCTTTCATACCCACAGGTACGCATAGGAAATAATTAACTAATGTATCTTATCGAGATTTTTAGGATTTGCTGTCTTCACCAACTACTAGTAGTTAGTACTCATTTTAGTCACAGTCTTTAATATCATGTAGAGTTACCGTCAAAATAATTTCGAATACTGAGAGGCAAAAAGTCATTTTAAGTTTACTGTATACTAGTATACTGAAGAGTGTAGTACTAGTTCAGTAGTTCAGGAATACTTACTTTCCTATTTTCATGTTAGGTGGAAGTGAAAGTGACGAAAGATGTTAGTTTTGCCGTGGATCCAGTGATATTATCAAAGCAAGTTGACCTGACGATGATTCTTGATGGAAATACGATGAACAAATCCTACTCAATTGATTACCAAGATGGTCAGGGCTCCTGGAAAATAGATGTCAATGTATGGGGTCAGTTTCCTTTTCAATATTTTGTCGTAGTATTCTGTAAACCGGGGTTTACTTTTAGATGCGTTCCCAGCTAGCAGCTTATACTCTTATATATAGTAATATATATATAGTAATATATTAGTATAAATCAATTCAGATTTTGTTTGCTTTATATGTGGTTTTATTTTATCTGATACATGATTTGAATAAATTGAAACAAAGGAGTTGACCGCACTCCAGGACCATCAGCCAAATCAGGTCCGCGGCAGTGGGACCTATAGTTCTGTTAAATTCGAGTTTAAACTTTTAAAGTAAACTCGACAATCTAAGAATCTAGCAGAACTATACTAGGCTGGCACGAAGAGCAAGTATTTAATACCTTGCTCCCCCCACTGTGACCGAAGCACGACGTTTTGCTTGGCCGATTAAAATCTTAAGTGTATAATATAAAATCATAGTGATGGTTGCTAAAGTCGTAATTGTGGTGTTCCATCGTCCGTTTTCCAAAGGCGAGTCCGTTCCGATATGTTGTTTCCTCCATCCTACTCAATTTGAATCACCGCATCTGTCAAAGGTTTGACTTGGATGATTTGTGGCAAACTTTGAGTGCTAGCCAGATTTGTCTGAGTACAAGCATCTGCTTGTTCGTTGCAATCCAGTTCTGTGGCGGCATCTGCCATGACAATTCGTCGAGGGTTCATCTTCACATGCGCAGCCCTCTCCACTTCTCTGATTTTCTTTTCCAAATAGTCAGAGAAGTCCAGGCTGACGTATTCGCTTGATTCCAGGTAGCTCTGTACCTTCTTTTCCAAGTCTTCGATCATCGAGTAATTCTGTCCTTTTCTGGTCCAAAATATGACAGCAGCCCCGATGGTGACGACTGCAAACAGTAACACAACGGTTACTAGCAATATGATCTCCTCAAGGATCATTTTAAAGATTCGAGAAAGTTGAGGGAGTAGTAGAATGCTTTAAAGAGCGATTCGTTCAATTCAGTGAGAGCACAAAGCAATGAGTGTTGTGATAAGACCGAAGTGAACCAGAACATTGTGCGTTACCAAGGTAATTATGCGCGCAAATTTGCACGCGCGGTTTGTTGTCGTAAAATGCACGTGCAAGTCAAATACATTAAACTGCTCCTCTAGTCTCTAGCTTGCCAAATAAAAAGAATATGAAGAGAATGACCAATGACTTATTGTCTGTTTTGAAATTCACAAATAATCTTCCGCCCAAAATTGGTGTTATCCGTTGCAAGTTAAAACTTTCGTATTCGTTTCTGCTTCGGAAACAATGATCAAGCCATGGAAGCGATCATTAGTCATTTGTATCAAAGCGACAACTTCACATAACATGAACTTTCGTCTGAAATCTGAAGTATAGCTCAGTGTTTCTATTTGAAACGTAATAACGTATATAATCTTATAATCATACTTTGACATCATTTCTTTTTTCAGCGTATTTGTTACCAGCAGCAGTTATTAAACAAACAGGCGTAGAAGTGGTCCACTATCCGACTTTCGCTTCAGAGGCAACTTGTAACGAAGGTAACTTCAAGCTATACATACATTCACGATTCATCTTATCACAATTCAGCAATTTCATGATTATTTTTGATACTTCTTACAACTTTACAAAATGATGTTTGAATTTGATTATCATCATATTATTATATAGGTATAAACAAACATCAGCTTCGTCGCGGTTTTTGTCTACACATCATATCAAGGTGACTAACAACACCTCCCTCCCTAGACTGCCCCCAGCTAGGAGTACTGTGTGTGCAGGTGACTAACAACTTAACAACACCTCCCTCCCTAGACTGACCCCAGCTAGGAGTACTGTATGTGTAGGTGACTAACAACACCTCCCTCCCTAGACTGCCCCCAGATAGGAGTACTGTATGTGCAGGTGACTAACAACACCTCCCTCCCTAGACTGCCCCCAGCTAGGAGTACTGCATGTGTAGGTGACTAACAACACCTCCCTCCCTAGACTGCCCCCAGCTAGGAGTACTGTATGTGCAGGTGACTAACAACACCTCCCTCCCTAGACTGCCCCCAGCTAGGAGTACTGTATGTGTAGGTGACTAACAACACCTCCCTCCATAGACTGCCCCCAGCTAGGAGTACTGTATGTGTAGGTGACTAACAACACCTCCCTCCCTAGACTGCCCCCAGCTAGGAGTACTGTATGTGTAGGTGACTAACAACACCTCCCTCCCTAGACTGCCCCCAGCTAGGAGTACTGTATGTGTAGGTGACTAACAACACCTCCCTCCCTAGACTGCCCCCAGCTAGGAGTACTGTATGTGCAGGTGACTAACAACACCTCCTTCCCTACACTGCCCCCAGCTAGGAGTACTGTATGTGTAGGTGACTAACAACACCTCCCTCCCTAGACTGCCCCCAGCTAGGAGTACTGTATGTGTAGGTGACTAACAACACCTCCCTCCCTAGACTGCCCCCAGCTAGGAGTACTGTATGTGTAGGTGACTAACAACACCTCCCTTCCTAGACTGCCCCCAGCTAGGAGTACTGTATGTGCAGGTGACTAACAACACCTCCCTCCCTAGACTGCCCCCAGCTAGGAGTACTGTATGTGCAGGTGACTAACAACACCTCCCTCCCTAGACTGCCCCCAGCTAGGAGTACTGTATGTGTAGGTGACTAACAACACCTCCCTCCCTAGACTGCCCCCAGCTAGGAGTACTGTATGTGTAGGTGACTAACAACACCTCCCTCCCTAGACTGCCCCCAGCTAGGAGTACTGTATGTGTAGGTGACTAACAACACCTCCCTCCCTAGACTGCCCCCAGCTAGGAGTACTGTATGTGTAGGTGACTAACAACACCTCCCTCCCTAGACTGCCCCCAGCTAGGAGTACTGAATGTGTAGGTGACTAACAACACCTCCCTCCCTAGACTGCCCCCAGTTAGGAGTACTGTATGTGTATGTGACTAACAACACCTCCCTCCCTAGACTGCCCCCAGCTAGGAGTACTGTATGTGTAGGTGACTAACAACACCTCCCTCCCTAGACTGCCCCCAGCTAGGAGTACTGTATGTGTAGGTGACTAACAACACCTCCCTCCCTAGACTGCCCCCAGCTAGGAGTACTGTATGTGCAGGTGACTAACAACACCTTCCTCCCTAGACTGCCCCCAGCTAGAAGTACTGTATGTGTAGGTGACTAACAACACCTCCCTTCCTAGACTGCCCCCAGCTAGGAGTACTGTATGTGCAGGTGACTAACAACACCTCCCTCCCTAGACTGCCCCCAGCTAGGAGTACTGTATGTGCAGGTGACTAACAACACCTCCCTCCCTAGACTGCCCCCAGCTAGGAGTACTGTATGTGTAGGTGACTAACAACACCTCCCTCCCTAGACTGCCCCCAGCTAGGAGTACTGTATGTGTAGGTGACTAACAACACCTCCCTCCCTAGACTGCCCCCAGCTAGGAGTACTGTGTGTGCAGGTGACTAACAACACCTCCCTCCCTAGACTGACCCCAGCTAGGAGTACTGTATGTGTAGGTGACTAACAACACCTCCCTCCCTAGACTGCCCCCAGCTAGGAGTACTGTATGTGCAGGTGACTAACAACACCTCCCTCCCTAGACTGCCCCCAGCTAGGAGTACTGTATGTGTAGGTGACTAACAACACCTCCCTCCATAGACTGCCCCCAGCTAGGAGTACTGTATGTGTAGGTGACTAACAACACCTCCCTCCCTAGACTGCCCCCAGCTAGGAGTACTGTATGTGTAGGTGACTAACAACACCTCCCTCCCTAGACTGCCCCCAGCTAGGAGTACTGTATGTGTAGGTGACTAACAACACCTCCCTCCCTAGACTGCCCCCAGCTAGGAGTACTGTATGTGCAGGTGACTAACAACACCTCCTTCCCTACACTGCCCCCAGCTAGGAGTACTGTATGTGTAGGTGACTAACAACACCTCCCTCCCTAGACTGCCCCCAGCTAGGAGTACTGTATGTGTAGGTGACTAACAACACCTCCCTCCCTAGACTGCCCCCAGCTAGGAGTACTGTATGTGCAGGTGACTAACAACACCTTCCTCCCTAGACTGCCCCCAGCTAGAAGTACTGTATGTGTAGGTGACTAACAACACCTCCCTTCCTAGACTGCCCCCAGCTAGGAGTACTGTATGTGCAGGTGACTAACAACACCTCCCTCCCTAGACTGCCCCCAGCTAGGAGTACTGTATGTGCAGGTGACTAACAACACCTCCCTCCCTAGACTGCCCCCAGCTAGGAGTACTGTATGTGTAGGTGACTAACAACACCTCCCTCCCTAGACTGCCCCCAGCTAGGAGTACTGTATGTGTAGGTGACTAACAACACCTCCCTCCCTAGACTGCCCCCAGCTAGGAGTACTGTATGTGTAGGTGACTAACAACACCTCCCTCCCTAGACTGCCCCCAGCTAGGAGTACTGTATGTGTAGGTGACTAACAACACCTCCCTCCCTAGACTGCCCCCAGCTAGGAGTACTGAATGTGTAGGTGACTAACAACACCTCCCTCCCTAGACTGCCCCCAGTTAGGAGTACTGTATGTGTATGTGACTAACAACACCTCCCTCCCTAGACTGCCCCCAGCTAGGAGTACTGTATGTGTAGGTGACTAACAACACCTCCCTCCCTAGACTGCCCCCAGCTAGGAGTACTGTATGTGTAGGTGACTAACAACACCTCCCTCCCTAGACTGCCCCCAGCTAGGAGTACTGTATGTGCAGGTGACTAACAACACCTCCCTCCCTAGACTGCCCCCAGCTAGGAGTACTGTATGTGTAGGTGACTAACAACACCTCCCTCCCTAGACTGCCCCCAGCTAGGAGTACTGTATGTGTAGGTGACTAACAACACCTCCCTCCCTAGACTGCCCCCAGCTAGGAGTACTGTATGTGCAGGTGACTAACAACACCTCCCTCCCTAGACTGCCCCCAGCTAGGAGTACTGTATGTGTAGGTGACTAACAACACCTCCCTCCCTAGACTGCCCCCAGCTAGGAGTACTGTATGTGTAGGTGACTAACAACACCTCCCTCCCTAGACTGCCCCCAGCTAGGAGTACTGTATGTGCAGGTGACTAACAACACCTCCCTCCCTAGACTGCCCCCAGCTAGGAGTACTGTATGTGTAGGTGACTAACAACACCTCCCTCCCTAGACTGCCCCCAGCTAGGAGTACTGTATGTGTAGGTGACTAACAACACCTCCCTCCCTAGACTGCCCCCAGCTAGGAGTACTGTATGTGCAGGTGACTAACAACACCTCCCTCCCTAGACTGCCCCCAGCTAGGAGTACTGTATGTGTAGGTGACTAACAACACCTCCCTCCCTAGACTGCCCCCAGCTAGGAGTACTGTATGTGTAGGTGACTAACAACACCTCCCTCCCTAGACTGCCCCCAGCTAGGAGTACTGTATGTGTAGGTGACTAACAACACCTCCCTCCCTAGACTGCCCCCAGCTAGGAGTACTGTATGTGTAGGTGACTAACAACACCTCCCTCCCTAGACTGCCCCCAGCTAGAAGTACTGAATGTGTAGGTGACTAACAACACCTCCCTCCCTAGACTGCCCCCAGTTAGGAGTACTGTATGTGTATGTGACTAACAACACCTCCCTCCCTAGACTGCCCCCAGCTAGGAGTACTGTATGTGTAGGTGACTAACAACACTTCCCTCCCTAGACTGCCCCCAGCTAGGAGTACTGTATGTGCAGGTGACTAACAACACCTTCCTCCCTAGACTGCCCCCAGCTAGGAGTACTGTATGTGTAGGTGACTAACAACACCTCCCTCCCTAGACTGCCCCCAGCTAGGAGTACTGTATGTGCAGGTGACTAACAACACCTCCCTCCCTAGACTGCCCCCAGCTAGGAGTACTGTAATTAAACGGAATTAAACGGAATTAAAACGGAATTAAACGGAATTAAACGGAATTAAACGTAAAGTTGTCAGAGATGGCACTAACACCATCGTCTCGACTATACATGAATGAATAACATATCTAGAGTAGGTAAAATTCGAGATTCAAGAATCATGAAAATTTAAAACAAAATCACTTAAAATTTAACTCCCGTACAAACAACCGAAATAGAAATAATTGCTGAAATAATAATTTAACAAAAGAGGAAGTAGTAAAAGGCAACTTCAATGGTCACTAAACTGCGATATTAGTATTCGAGTCCACAAAAGACACATTCATACTCAAACAGTCCTCCCACTCACAGTCACAACGTACTGGAAACAGTAATCACTAGTGTTCCATGCTCGTACAACAGATCGTGAAATCTGCATAATGATGGTTGATCTGTATCATGTCTGTTGAGTTGGTAGTCCTGATGGGGTGACAGGCAGTATTGGCGTCTTTTTCGGGTTCCTGATGCGGTGACAGTTGCAAAGGAATTTGCCCAGTTCTTGCACATGGGCAGAATTCATGATAGCTCCGTATTCCTTGAGCAGCAAAAGACTCTTAAGGTTTTCCGACAGTGAGAGTCTCGCTGAGTGGTACATTGGACATTCAGTGAGGCAGTGTTCTTCATTTTCAATGATTGTTCCTTCGAAAAAGGGGAGATATTCTAAGCCTTGAACGTTATCCTTGTTGCAGCAGAATCTGCAGGCTCTCGTCCACGTTCCAGTTTCTTTTGTGTATCTCCCTCTTTCAATAAGAAGGTCATGGCTACTGGAGCGGATTTTTGCTATGTGCATGCGACATTGACTATTCTTTAGATTGAGATACTACTGTATGTGTAGGTGACTAACAACACCTCCCTCCCTAGACTGCCCCCAGCTAGGAGTACTGTATGTGTAGGTGACTAACAACACCTCCCTCCCTAGACTGCCCCCAGCTAGGAGTACTGTATGTGCAGGTGACTAACAACACCTCCCTCCCTAGACTGCCCCCAGCTAGGAGTACTGTATGTGTAGGTGACTAACAACACCTCCCTCCCTAGACTGCCCCCAGCTAGGAGTACTGTATGTGTAGGTGACTAACAACACCTCCCTCCCTAGACTGCCCCCAGCTAGGAGTACTGTATGTGCAGGTGACTAACAACACCTCCCTCCCTAGACTGCCCCCAGCTAGGAGTACTGTATGTGCAGGTGACTAACAACACCTCCCTCCCTAGACTGCCCCCAGATAGGAGTACTGTATGTGCAGGTGACTAACAACACCTCCCTCCCTAGACTGCCCCCAGCTAGGAGTACTGTATGTGTAGGTGACTAACAACACCTCCCTCCCTAGACTGCCCCCAGCTAGGAGTACTGTATGTGTAGGTGACTAACAACACCTCCCTCCCTAGACTGCCCCCAGCTAGGAGTACTGTATGTGTAGGTGACTAACAACACCTCCCTCCCTAGACTGCCCCCAGCTAGGAGTACTGTATGTGTAGGTGACTAACAACACCTCCCTCCCTAGACTGCCCCCAGCTAGGAGTACTGTATGTGTAGGTGACTAACAACACCTCCCTCCCTAGACTGCCCCCAGATAGGAGTACTGTATGTGTAGGTGACTAACAACATCTCCCTCCCTAGACTGCCCCCAGCTAGGAGTACTGTATGTGCAGGTTACTAACAACACCTCCCTCCCTAGACTGCCCCCAGCTAGGAGTACTGTATGTGCACCTCCACAGAGCAGAGGGCATCGCTCACGAGGACCCTGAGGAGAGTGTTGATCCTAATGTTAGAGTTTATCTGAACAACCAGCAGGTTATTTACTAATTATTAATTTAATGTAATTAATTAATGTAAGCATATTGTCATGATATCTGTAAATATGGTAAAGTATATGGTGAAAGTTATATGAAGAGGATAACGTTTATAAAACATCCCAAAACGTGTTTCAAAGCAAAATCTCGAATGTTGATTAAGAAGGGTATATCATCATCAATTATGAAAGAAATTGCTCTATTTTCAATTAGAGGACGTAATAGTTTCTGAATAGTGGAGATGCTTGTCGTGGAAGTTTTTCTATGTTTGAAAATTAAAAGACTTAATATTTGTATTCCTTGCATAAGGTGTACAAATCAGAGACATATCCTAATTCCGGTGATCCAATATTCGACGAGAAATTCCAGATACTTGTTCGGACAAAATACTCTACCATTCCAGAAATAGCTGACCAGGTAAATTGCTGAGAGTAAGAAACTCTTATTAGCAGTTATTAATAAAAATTGGGAAATTATCGAATACAATTAATAATACATCATAAGGAGTCATGAAGATGATTATGCACTCGACATAGAGGACCTGGGACACCACCCTCAGGCAAAGCGATTACTTTTACTTATTTTTCAGACCCTGAGATTTGACGTATCCGACTATGACAAGTTTACAGACGACGACTTTTTGGGTCAAACTTCTGTCAACCTTTCAACTGTGAGTCGAGCTTAAATTCTTAAAGTGTAATTTGTAAAAGCGACCCAAGCTATATACTAGGATCGTTCGGCGGTCCACTAAAAGTAACTCGTCTTAAGATTGAAAATAATACAAGATAATGTATTTACCATTTACTCTGCATGCATTTTCCATGAAACAAACTACTTCCCTCATTTGCATTGCCATTACCATCGACAATAAAGTAGAAAAATTAACAAAAAACAATAACTTGTGGTGACACAACATTTAATTTTATATCCCGCAGGACGTGGTTGTTAACAAAGGTCTCTACCTACAGAAAAGGGCGTCAAAAGTTGGATACAGTGTCCTGTATGTTTCCATGGTGTTCAAACCAGTACCATTCTATAAATAGAATTATTGGTTCGAGGGACAATTGTGAAATGCAAAGTAGCTGATTGTTCAAAATATATGAAATTTATTAGCTGTTAACTGATTCTTCGGGATTAGATTTAAATTTTTGAATTGATTCTGACCCTTTTTATTTTTCAGAATGTGAAAAATGTAACATTGTTGTTTAACAGTAGACTGCTACTACGGCTATGCAAAAGTACTTTAGCTTAAAATGGGTCAAATATAGTTTTTTCGGTGTATAAAAATCCCAAATCTAGCGATCAACTGCAAAAAAAATGAAAAAAACGTAATCAATAATTGTATTGTCCCATTCATTCACAATTGATTATAGGAGGCACTTACGATGCGTTACGACACTAACTGAGCTCATTACAGTTTACATGCCTTGAATAATGGGAAAAGCGACCGACATATTTCATTATCGGTATCATTTTGCGTTTGGGTACGGTAATTCAAATTGATATCACTTCCTTTTGTTTGGAAAAAGGAAACACTAGCAACGGTCCTGCGGTCCAACTCCACTCTACCCAATTTTGGGTTTTGTTTAAGATACATGATCCTGATTCAACTGCAGTACACCTCATCACGGGACATTGTGGCCTCAACAAACACCTACACACCATTCGCAAATCAGACACAAGTGCTTCTCCTAAATGCGGCGACGGAGAGGAGACTGTCTCACACTTTCTCGGACTGCGGACAGTGCCCGGCTATTGCCCAAATTGAAATAAGAGGTCAATATTTCCGGGACTAATACCTCTCTCACAATGACATATTCGACAACCAACACATCTCCACCATTGTCAACTTTACAAACCACACTAAACGCTTAGTGGTGCTAGAGGAGTTGGACCAGACAGGTGTAACATAGCGACTATTTTAACGCCGTCTTATTTCGCCTCTCTCTTCCACACTCAACCACCACTTAAGCGTTTACAGTTTATCTATGACACACCCCACAACACTTACCATCATCCTTGATTACACATCTTGATTCCACTGGCATCCTCCCACAGGACTGCCATACCCCAGAGGGGGTATAGGACGCAGCGGCGGAAGTCACTGCTGTGGTGGACGGTACAGCGGAGGACGGTACAGCGGAGGACGGTACGGCGGTACTCCGCCGCAGTGACCGGTTCCCGCAGAGGTAGGCAAAGCATCCATATGCTATCCTCTCGTGGGCCAACCAGGCCCAGCCTCTTTTTTTAATGATCCTGATTCCTGAATACCTGCTCGTGTCCAGGAGTTACCTGTAGTCAGTGTAATAAGCGCCAAGCGCGAGCACAGAACTTTTTTCTCCGATTTCGATAAATTTGGTACCAAAATTTGTCTAAAAATGTGAATAAAATAAATCCACCGTGTAGCAATTTTCGCTAAAAATGCTACACGGCGCTTGTTCGCCGCGCGTGCTTTTTTCGCGCCAATTTTTAGTTTTTGGCCTATAACTTTCATATTTTCAGTTATTATCACATAATTATTATGGCATCGTAATCAGCTCATCGAGACGAAACTTTTTGTACTAATATTTTAAGATTTAAAGGAAAACTATTTTCAAAATTTTTCAATCTGAACACAAGGGTCCCCCCTTGTGTGAAATTTTGAAAAATTTTTGAAAAATTTGGTGCTTCAAATATTATAATTTTGGTACCAAAAGTTGCGTCTGACTAAGCTCATTACGATGCTGTAATAATTATTTCAAAATATTCAATATTTTAGGAGTTATAGGCATTTTAAGTAATAAATTACCCATTTTTCGTCCTTTGTACATTCTTGTAATGCACAGGAGGCCCACATATAGCTCGACGTTATTTTGCTACACGGTGAATTTGCATTATTCACACTTAGAGGCAACTTTTGGTACCAAATTTATCAAAATCAGAGACAAAAAATTCTGTGCCAACTCATGGCGCTTATTACATAGACTACTGGGGACCCAGGCTAATTATTATTATACAACTTTATTCAAATAAATAAATAGTACAGGGTGGGCCAAAAGTCAGTACCCATACCACATACGTTGGGTCTTATACCTCCGCCGTCTTTTATATATTTGAGAGCTGTTGCTTTGCAGATGGCATACTATACTTACTGGTTCGAGGATTCCGTCGTAAAAATTGGAAAATTGGAATATTTTAGACCACGCCCATTCAATATTAAAACACTTATATTGTTCGCTGTGAACATGTTGGACGCCTAATTTTTTTCTGAGACGGTAGATTATTACATTTTGCATCTCATCTGAAAAAACGATGTGAAACAAATTAGAAATGACGAAGTTATCAAGCAATTTGTGTATCTCGTTAGCAAAATTGATTGGGTGATTATGTGACACCGTGACACGACACCTTAATTGGGCAGCCTTAACGATTCCCATAATGTTCAACGGGGTAGTTACCGGGGTCACCTTATCACGTGATTAGGTAAGCCAATCACCTGATCACACGTAATAAATAAACTCGTTATGCTTCGTATCTCAGTCATCTGAGAAGCTATAACGGTTCTTTTGCGATAGTCAAAACGCGACAACTAGCGCTGGATGGCGACAACTAGCGCTATCCAGCGCTAGTTGTCGCCATCCAGCGCTAGTTGTCGCTATCCAGCGCTGGATAACGCTGGCCAGCGCAAAATATATATGTTCGATAATTGTCGCTATCCAGCGCTAGTTGTCGCCATCCAGCGCTAGTTGTCGCTATCCAGCGCTAGTTATCGCTATCCAGCGCTAGTTGTCGCTGGATATGCGACACTGTCGCACGCGATAGTTTGCGATGGCCAGCGCAACTGGCCATCGCAGAAAACAGTTCGATAACTAGCGCTGGATAGCGACAACTAGCGCTGGATAGCGACAACTAGCGCTGGCCAGCGCTAAGCGATAGCCAGCGCTGGCCATCGATATCCAGCGCAAAATTTTTGCGCTATTACTCGTCAGCTAGCGCTGGCCAGCGCTAGCCAGCGCTAACCAGCGCTAACCAGCGCTAGCCAGCGCTAGCCAGCGTTAGCCAGCGCTAGCCAGCGCTAGCCAGCGTTAGCCAGCGTTAGCCAGCGTTAGCCAGCGCTAGCCAGCGCAATGTATCAAAATCATATACTTGCGATATCATTATTACTCGGATGATGATTAATCACTTTACACTCGACTGTCACGTGACTTTTTTAACCCATTCTCTGACTCTAGCTGGCTCTGAACGACTTTTTGAAACCCTAACCCTCTATAAATCTGATCCCAACCCTAACCCAATCCTTAACAAAAACATATGCTGAAACCCTAACCCTAACCGTAACGAGAAATTAGACTAACTTCCTTATACGGTCATATCACGTGATCGATACAGTTTTTCGCCAATATCTCGTCAGGAGAGCATTTTAACCCTTTGTCATGGAAGTTGATTCGGAATTAGCGTCCGAAAATACATTGCATCGATTGAAGTTGGTTACACCATCGAGGGCCCTTTTAGAACAATCTCGAAGATCGACTGTAGAGTGATTTAGCACGCTCGATATTAGTATTACTGGCCAGCGCAATATAGTTGCGATATTATTCGTCAGCTAGCGCTGGCCAGCGCTGGCTAGCGCTGGTTAGCGCTGGTTAGCGCTGGTTAGCGCTGGCTGGCGCTGGTTAGCGCTGGCTAGCGCTGGCCAGCGCTAGCTGACGAGTAATAGCGCAAAAATTTTGCGCTTGATATCGCTTAGCGCTGGCCAGCGCTGGCCAGCGCTAGTTGTCGCTATCCAGCGCTAGTTGTCGCTATCCAGCGCTAGTTATCGAACTGTTTTCTGCGATGGCCAGTTGCGCTGGCCATCGCAAACTATCGCGTGCGACAGTGTCGCATAGCCAGCGACAACTAGCGCTGGATGGCGACAACTAGCGCTGGATGGCGACAACTAGCGCTGGATGGCGACAACTAGCGCTGGATGGCGACAATTATCGAACATATATATTTTGCACTGGCCAGCGTTATCCAGCGCTGGATAGCGACAACTAGCGCTGGATGGCGACAACTAGCGCTGGATAGCGCTAGTTGTCGCCATCCAGCGCTAGTTGTCGCGTTTTGACTATCGCAAAAGAACCGCTATAACTCTAATCTTTTCAGGACAAACGTAATTCGAATGGCCAAACACAATTCAATAAAATTTAGCTCGATCCGACTGTCCAAATTATCAAATAAATGCGAAAATGAATTTTCATTTGAAAAAAATGAACACGAATATTTTTCGAGTTGACAAATTCCCCGAACCAGTGGTGGTACTAAGTTATACCAGAAAGAATTATTTCAATTGGGCACTCAGTGACTGAGCTATAAAGGCCAACGTATGGGTACTGACTTTTGGCCCACCCTGTATAAACAAATTAAAAATCTGATAAGTAACCTACTAAAACTAAAATAACTTTTTCCACTTAGGTCTGTCTAGTTGGGCTAAAAAAATCAAATTATAAATGTCTTCTGTATTTACAAGTTTAATGTCTATCTGATAAGTCATTTTTAAGAGTTTTTAATAAATTACATTGGTGTCTCCCGACACGACCCTTTATATCCCTCATACTCTCAACTGCAAAAAATAAAGAACATAGCGCTGGGGAGTTGCTGGCACTACGAAGTATATATGATATAACCAAACATTTTCCAACGTGAGTACGCAACTCTCTCACTGAGTGGTCTGCATGCATCTGCGGTTACATTTCTTATACAGATGACAGAGCTTCGTTTGAAATGACGGTGGATATCTAGATGTTTTTTAACTTCGAACTTTTAGATGAATTATATCTGGAAGATAAGCCAATTAAACAGTGAATAAGTAAAGGATTGTAAAATAATGCAAGACCAATCCAATCGTACATAAAATAAGTGGTCAATCTCATGGTAAAGTCCGTTACCCTAAATCAGTGGGGTAGCGTGGTGATCAATGGGACTGGTGTGTATTATAACGGCTGGCTGACTCTCTCTCTGGACGATGGACAGGTAGCTGCTATATCATGGCTACGTTCCTTCAATGCTGCCAACGAGGGCAGAATCCGTGGGAGGGGAATGTCCTAGAAAGGGACAAATTATTAGCAAATGACGGATTAATTAAAGACAATAATATACTAACTAGGATAAAATTAAACATGATAAAGTTAAATTAGAGTGAACTGTAGAATACGAAATATGTAAGAACTTATCAATATATGCTCAAATGACTTACGAGGTAATAATGTAGGTGCTGCTAAGGTTAGGACAAGCAAACAGGTAGGATAGGGTCACCACAATATTACCTAGGAAATGTATAAACCTATTAGAATTTAATTACTAACCTATCGGGAATGACTCTAGTATTACGAACAATGTGAATCAATAAATGGGAAATAACATTGCAATGAACAACATCTAATTAATGGTTTAATAATTATAAAAGCTATACCTCGAGGAACAAACTTCCTAGCCTATCAGGAATTCAACAGAAGCGACGGGAACCAATTACAATGATCTGGCATGACGTTAGGAAAATCTGGTGAAAATAACGGATAAGTATTTTACCCGCATATTATGATACTTGCACAGAACTTGAACTCACGGATTTAATCTTAACCTAATTATGCATGATATTGATACGGTCTTAGGAACAAAATACTAAGGTCAATGATTTAAAATAAAGGACTACAAACCTATTTATGAAACTAGTGACGTGGGAGAGAGCGCAGCATACTAACATCCCGGGCCGTGTAGAGAAAACCAATCATAGGAGAGGCGTTCGGGAAAAGGCTAAAGGCTAACGGCAGTGAGAATCTTGTGTGTTCATCTTTTGTAGTCTAGGTGTTCTGTGGAAGAGGAGCTCCAGTGGAAGAGGCGGTCCACGCGTTATCGAGGAGAGTTGCAAACAAACAGGTTATTGCAAACAGGTTATTGCAAACAAACAGGTTTAATAATACAAATACAGGTTTTTAAAAACTGGTTAAAATATTGTTCCACTAATAATAATTGATGAATTCGATAACTCTATTACCCCAATAATTTCTTTGTAAATAATTCTAATAACACTAAATGTCCTTCCTGACCAATGGCTGCAGTGTTCTGCAAACCTCTCGAATCAGATCTTAATCATATAAGTGATCACTTAATTCATCTTTATGAAACCTAATGCCAAGGAATTAAACTGGAATTAAACGCAGCATACTGGGGTTCAACTTAACTTCTAGTTCTGAGGTACTACACACGTCCCTAACAGGTAATAGTATGACATTTTGACGATTTGCCTCAGGTTTTTGCGATGACAAATGTCGATTTTGTCCATATAGTTTTTGGGTACAGCCCAGGAATTACAGTTGTACAACATAACAGTTGTAGGTTTACAACTTGATTCACGATGTAAATCCTTCGCAGCTCGGTGAGGCACAGTGGTGAGAAGAATTATTTGATGCGCGGCGCGACCCAGTAGTGCATCGCGCTACAAGTTTACAACCTACCAGGACGCGCGCCGAGTTGGACTCGTCGACGGTCCAATATATGGAACAGATATTTTACGAGTATCACCCGTTAACATAACAGAAACAACAAGGGACTCGTAGATTTTCAGCCGAGTACTAAACAGATTCGCTGACCTTGTTCCCATACATTCTTGTAGTTGTAGTCCTGAAAAGCAACATTTCCTAGGGTCAAATGAGTAGGTTGCACCTTTTCTGAATGTCTTCTTTGTCGCAGAGTTTGGAGCCTAGTGATAGATCGAAGATCTCCAAGGTTCTCTGTTTTTGAGGAGTTCACCTTTCTCGTCACGTTTGTTTTTACCAGCAATGTAGAATTGTGTGAACTCAGTTTTTGATTCGTTCGCTAAAAAGTTCCATTCTTGTAGAACATCCTAGCGCGGCACCCGATTACCATGAGCCTAAGGCTCATGGTAGTCGGGTGCTGCGCACGAGCGATAAAATTTATCGCTCGGTCAACCGAGGTCCGAGCGATAAGTAGCTCCTTATCGCTCGTGCACGTCGTCACTTTTAGTATGTAGTACAGTTCACAGGTCCGTATTGCCGGATTTAAGTTACAGAAAAGCCAGCGGTCAGCTATCCACTATCGGACTATTATATATAGCGGATATATATTGGAAACTAGCAGTAGCGGATGACTATAGCGGAAAATGGCGTGCGCCTAGTGGAGACGCGCTAAAATGCTGCATTTATACCTAGCGGATGGCTAGCGGAGTATAGCGGAGGACGCGCGCAAACTATGAACTAGCGGCGAATAGTGACGTGTTCGTTTTAAACAAAATGTTTACAATACTTAGAGCTAACTTGGTGGGCGTTTGTAACTGTGCTAACTAGTTCATTTCAAAGCTGAACGGAAATTCCTTAATTCATCCTCCAGCTCGGAAATCTTAGGGTCACCTGCCTCTAAACCGTTTATCTCCTCCACAGCTTGTAGCGCGATGCGTTACTGTGCCGCGCCGCGCACTCAATGAGGCTTCTCACAGCGAGATGAGCTACTGTGCCGCGCCGAGCTGAGATGAATTGACATCGTCAATTAACTCCACAGCCTTATTCATTATTTATGCTAGACTGAATCTCGCCTTTCTCACTGCTCTCACTCTTTTCTGCTCCTCTCTCGATAACGTTTCTCCCGGCCCTGCCGACATTTAATTCCGTCTGGTTTCTCAGTTCTTAAACTCTCTTCGACTCTCCTGCTTCTCTCTCGATATCTTCTTTCTCCTACTTGCTAATAATTTCTGGTTCTTCCTTACCTGAGGACCCCAGGCTATTATGTTCATTAACATATAATAAAGATTTGGCGGAATGACAGGCTGAGCGCGGCCCAGTAACGACCACTTCAACATCAGGTCGCTCAAGGTTCGCACTGTACGCCTTGAAACGGTCCGATGACCGACAACTAAGAACCTCTCATTCCGGGCGGGGCATACCATGCAATGCTGTTAAATACGTAGCGTTTCAAGCAAACGTATTTGTCGCCGAAAATTCGCGTATTTCGATTTCCACTGTGGAGTAAAAACGATTTTAACGCTCAGAAAATTCAACGAATTCAAAATGCGCGGCGTTAATTTGATCTGCGCGCGTATTTCGGACAAATTTTAGACGTTTTCCGAACAAAATTTAACAGGGTCTAAATTCAATTTTTTTGGGCTTATTGATCGGAAACTTTACGTATTTTAACGTATTTCTGTAGAACATTGAGTGACCCACACCCCCCTAATGACGTCAGCATCCGCTAGACCCCCTTGCCTTCTTAACTCCTTTACTTAATTGTTAATACTAGGCGGTGCACGATAAAAATAAACTTGCTCGGATTTTAAAAATTTTTGTACCATCGTTTATTCTAGAGACTGTGAGAATTTTTTAACCATTAACGGGTGATACTCGTAAAATATCTGTTCCATATATTGGACCGTCGACGAGTCCAACTCGGCGCGCGTCCTGGTAGTAGGTAGTGCGCCATCGACAGTGAGCCGCGCGTGCCGACTGTAGGATGGTTTTTTAGCGCTAATTTCGGCCAGCACAATTTTCTTCAAACAAATAGATATTGAGTATCCTTCCCGACCTCAAATTGCAACAAAAATTGGTAAGCTTACTTATAGACTTACAAGGAAAGTGTCCGAAAAATTTAAAGCATATCCAACCATCAAACATTATGTTACAGCTAAAAGCAGCGTATTTTGCCCCATTTTGATCACTATATCAACTCCGATATCCACCAAATTTTTCGGACAGTTGTGAAAGCCCTATTAGTAGAGGCTCTTACGGGCAAAAAGGCGTGTTTTCTGCTACGAGTTTAGAGACCTAACCGCTAATTGGACACAATAGTATGATGTCTAAGGATCGATAATATGTTAAGAAGTATAGATTTGGCCTTATTAGTCACGTGCTATACCAATGCGCGTTTTAAACTTTGACAGTCTATTACTCTAAGGCAAATAGAGTAATTATATTCATATTTTGTCAGCAATAAGATCCCATCATTTTCTATTTGGTGTGAAAATATGAGATAGAACGGACATAATCTCGCTGAGTTATAGCTGTTTGAAATTTATGATGAACGCGTGGGTGCCAATTGATAACAACTAAATGCTTTTGCGCGTAGTGCGCGTCGAAAATTTGGCAAAAACGCTTGCGGAGTGACAATATTCAAACTTCGATAAAGTATATGAAGTGGGTACTTCTCAGAAAGGAAAAATTTAGGCAAACACGATGTGACTATTTTTGAGTTGATTTAATACAACTGCAAAAAATTATTCAAACTTCAAGCAAAAAAGTCAAAATTTTTACCACTTTTTTGGATTTTTACCCCAGAACAAATAGAGGGATTTGTTTTAATTTTATACCATCTTGTGCGGCTGTCTTTTAGCTATCTCCATGCAAGTTTTGATGACATGCCAACAAAATTAACTTGCTCAAAATATCAAAAAACATGGTTTTTTGGCCTATTTTTGGCCCAAAAATCGGTTTTTTGCGATTTTAACCGAGAAAAATCAGTCCAATCATCTTGAAACTACTTTTAATCGATTCTACGGTCAAAAATACGTCTAGTAAGGTGTATCTGGGGTCCCTAGCGTATCGAGCAGACAATGCCCGTAAGAGCCTCTACTATATTGGAAGGTCGTCGCCAATTTCCAGAATGATCTCATTTAAGGAACTGAAGATATATCCGAATAACACGACAAAATTGTCAAATTTGGACGAATTTGGTCAAATTACGCGACTTTTACAGCTACTTTTGCTCCAAAAACCGCGCAGCATCAAATATGGCACCTAGCCGAAACTCACTGATCTTTCCAAAAAAGTATGACAAATTTGGTATTGTGAAAATTCTCACAGTCTCTAGAAAACAGTGGTACAAAATTTTTAAAATCCGAGCAAGTTTATTTTTATCGTGCACCCCCTACTGGTAGGTTGTAAACCTACAAAGAATTTTCACAGTACCAAATTTATTATACCTTTTTGGAATGATCAGTGAGTTTCTCCTAAGTGCCATATTTGATGGTGCGCGGCTTTTGGAGCAAAATTAGGTGTAAAAGTCGCGTAATTTGACGAAATTCGTTGATTTTTGTCGTATTATTCTGTCATATCTTCGGTTCCTAAACATGAATCATGCTAAAAATTTGTCAAAACCTTCCAATCATACTTAACTACCGAACCTAATTTAGTTGGGAGAGATTGGCCTTGAATAAGAGGTCTAAAAATGACAAAATAAGTATAAATTCGTTGATAACTCAAATTCTGACCATCGAAATTGCTCAAACTAAATTAGGTTCAGTAAAACATAAGTGTTTACGTAAGCTGAATAAATTTCAGTACAATTGTTAAATGGGAAGTATTATAACTTTTCGATTGTTTCCAAAATAATGTGCTGGCCGAAATAAGAGCTAAAAAACCATTCAATGGTCAGCGCGCGCGTCTTATTGTCTATGGCGCACTGCCTATTAATACCTGTACCTACCCCTCCCGTCAGCCAGCGAGGGGGTATAAAAATGCTAACGGTGCGGCGCGGGTGTAGGCAGAGAAAATTAGTATGCAACTGATTTGATTGACACGACGGTGTCAACCCCAATCTCGTCTTCCCAGGAAAAGTTACCAGCTGGTGGTGGTACAAGAGTTGGTTTAATTTAAACAGACGGCTCGACCTCGCGCGCGACAACAAGCATGATTTGCACGCGTGGCGCATTCCAATGTTCAAGCAGCTACCACGTGACACAATTCAGCCAACCAGATCAGAGTACAGGAATCCGCAAAGTTAAAGTTGCAAACTTTTGATCGGCCCGAAATGGGACTTTTCTGGAGATTTTGAGATAACTCAACAATTACGTTGTCTTGAATTTTCCTCAATCCTGGGGAGGTAACGTTACTTTTAAAAGAGGAACATGTTACAAAAAACCGAAAGTCTCCAACTCTTTTACTTTCAAAGTTAAGCCCCATCCGGTCAGGGTTTCTGGGTGCAGCTGACTGACGCCGAGTAGGGTGTTTTGGCCGTTCTAACTTAAGACTTTTAAGAATTAAAGCAGCCGTATTGATCTTACAAACCTACAACTTTCAAGGGCTAGTATTAGCTGTTTTTTGGACACTTTTCTTGTAAGTCTATGAGTAAGCTAACAAATTTTTTTAAATTGAATCGAGGGAAGGTTACTCAATACGCATTTGTTTCAAGAATTTGGTGCTGGCCGAAATAAGCGCTAAAAAACCATCCTACAGTCTGCAGTCGGCACGCGCGGCTCACTGTAATGTCGATGGCGCACTACCTAATAGTAATATATACTGTGACTAGGCCTAGGTGGTATTAGGACATGATGCGATGAGGGAACGTATCGACTGACCCCGAAAAACAAAGACGTAAAAGTTATTAAAAGTTTATGGGTACAAAACCAACATGAATAAAACTTTGAAGGAGAGCCAAGTTTAAGCTACAATATTTAACTTGATACATGTTTCGTATCCCAATACGGCGCGAAAAGTGGCATGACGTATGTCAATATTTAACAATTGCACTGCCACAATTGAAATTTGTATCTGATGAGGGCGGTAGTAAACTGACTACTGTGTACTGCAGCTATGCTTAATAAACCATATCATTCATAATTTAGTACTAAACTTTGAACTCATTTTCGATTTTTCACGTTTTGAGTACGCCTTGAGTTGATCAGTGCGTTTAGAAAGTTTTTCGTATAAAAATGCTGACGGGTGTACTGTAGGCAGGAAAAATTAGTATGCGACTGATTTAAACAGTTGGTCAACAGATTTCAGTTCACCGAGGTACTAATATTAAGGAAAGTAGCAAAGTTTTATTGTTAATATTAATAAAATTGATTGGAAACAAAAATGTTTGCCAAAATTCACGTTACATTTCTGCTTTTACTAATTCGCTCGCCCAAAAATTTCACGTGACTTTGGTTTTTATGGTTTTGCAGCCGTATAAAACGGTTTTACATAAACCCTAATCCCAACTCTAACCCTAACCATAACTTCAAAGCTATCCATAACCCTTATCACAACCCTAACCCTAACCTGAGTCTTAAACAATCGGATTCGTGTTTTACTAGCCTGTCGCGTGTTTGCCCATAACTCTTCAAGTTCAGGGAAGCATTTTTACCCTACATCATGGCCCATGGGGGTGATTCGGAATCAGCGTTCAAAAATACACCGGTTTAGATCAATTTAATACCCAAACGGGCCTTTTCACAAGAATTTTCTTAAAATTTGGGCGAGCGATTTAGTAGGAGCGCATTTCTAGCTGCTGACGTCAGCAAGGCTCAGACCCCCCGCTCCCCTCCCGTCAGCAACCGTAAGCATTTCCAAACCCCCTACCCCCTCGGCTGCTGACGTCATATGTGAACGCTCCCATATTCATGTATTCTTTGGAAGAATTTCAGAAAGTTTGCTTTCAGGATAGAAATATAAACATTCGTATATAACAGACAGCAATAACGATAAATTCACTATTACTATTCACTTTCTCCAATACGACAGGATGATTTTTGCTCTGACAACTCTACTATCAGTGGTGGGACTGGTCACCAGTAACGGAGAAACCCACAACAAGATCCTCAACTTCCCCACAGCCAGCACAGCAAACTACATCAGCTTCAACCCTGACCTTCCTGAGCTGACTGGACTGACCGTATGCGCTTGGAAGAAGAACAGCTTCCTGGAAAGGAAAACAGGTAGATACTGGTTCAGCTACGCAGTATCAGAATCCGACAATGAGATCATCGTGGGCGACTCCGCGTTCTACGTGAAGTCAGCTTACGTTTACAGTCAGGTGCCACTAACTGACCAGTGGGTCCACAACTGTGCAACCTGGGATTCAGAGTGTGGAGTAGCTGTCATCAGTATCGACGGAGAAGCAGCAGCGACTCAAGAGAACCTTAAGAAGGGTGAAAGTTTGAGGGCAGGAGGTAACCTGGTTATCGGACAGGAGCAGGACAGTGTTGGAGGAGGGTTCGACGCAGACCAAGCCTACGTTGGTGAGCTCTACAACATAAACGTGTGGGACTATGCCCTTGACTCTACAGACGTGGCTTCTCTCTACCAGGCGGGTCTTTGTGGATACGGCTCTACTGAGGAGGACCCCGTCATCTCTTACGCTGATATTCTGGCCCAGGAACTGGTAGGGGATGTAACCGTCGTTGATGGGGCCTGCGCTGACATTGAAGTTCCATGTCAGGAGTACAAAGAAGAATGCTGGGAGACAGAAGAGAAGATCAAGTACACAGACGGAGGAAAGTTGGGCTATATTGTGGGAACCGTGGACCAAGCCAAGGCAGCGTGTAATGCTCACGGTGAGTGTAAGACTTTGACTTGTCTCGAGAAAAAAGGTAAGATGAGATGCGAGTTGAGGTCTTCGTTTGAGAAAGCAAAGAAGGACAAGAAGAAGACATCGTATACTTACAGATGCTAAACCATTGCAGTATAGCTGGGGATGTAGTTTATGTTTTATTTTAAGTCGAGATTTTCCAAATTGGTTTGTTGAATTAAATGATTAAATTCATTTTCTTTACTTCTTTTCAATAATATGCGTACTTTTTCTTCTCTTACCCATGTTCCATTCGAAATAAATATTCCATATCTAGCATGGTCCATCGGCCCTACCATTCTTATAATGCGTCCGTTGAGAATCACTAACGTTTTAAAACTTATATTGTACCATAGCCGTTACAGGGGCATAATAAAGAATTCTGGTTTTCCAATGTTTCCGGAGCTGAATTTTCGTTTAGTTTTAGTTTAAGAAGATAACATAATTTGGGTGAAGCTATTTCAAATAAAAGTAAAACAAATTAATTTGACTACAACCAGAAATTAAAAATAAAATGTTTCACAGAAGAAACAAATTCGATAAGTGGTCACGTTTTGGCAATTATTGTGAGCGTGAATAAACGAAAAGGCAAAATAAGGTTCAACTAATGGTCTTGACAGCTCTAATTATTTACACAGAATTACCTCAGTTTAAGTTCAAAGTATCTTTTAAAAAGTGTGTAATGTAACACAAAGGGAAAGTTGAGCAAATAAAGTTCTACATAGAGTTCGAAAATGTTCCATTCTTCAGAAATGATAAACTTCATATTTTTACTTCAAAACCAAAAACTTTTAAGAAGGTTGTTTATAGCGGTCAGCTAATAGTAATATAAAAACTGTTTTCATAACTAGACTCTTTTGTAACGTCTCTTACACTTGAGGGGCCGACTTGATGGACTCTATGGTCTTTTTCAAATCCTCCAATATTTCTTTCTGAAAGACAAATATCTCATTCAAGATGCATATAATTATAGGTTATCCCACAAAACAAAATGGAAGTGGTTTAAGAATTTTCGTTTTGCGACGGAAAAATTATTCAATTTACCAATTCCTTGAGATCTTCGTTCTTAAGCTTGTCTAGCTTCTCCTCGACCTCTTCTCTTTCATCCTTACTCCCAGACGATGAACTGGAACCCCCACCAAACCCTAACTTGGGGCTGCAACAACAACAACAGGAACATGTCTTTATCTTGATGTACCATCTCTGCCAGGGAAAACAGAAGTGAAGCGTTTGATATGTTTGATAAAAAACACAAGGAAATACTTTCAAATTATTGAATTTCAACTCTTGTAATCATGTTCCCGAAGGTTACTTACCATGTACCAAGGCATGGGAATTACGTCAGCTGCGACGCTTGCGAGCATATCCATATTTAAAGCTTATTCTTTGGGCCTGAAAATAATTCATGTTATTATTGCATTTTTAATAAAGAATAATTGAAATCTGGAAGAGGGAGTGACGAATATTTCTGTATAAAAAATCTAGTTCCGCAACAGTCGTTTTTTACCAAAAATAATAACAGCTAATAAATTAGGGCTAAATTTCTCAAACCAGTCTGCCATACCAGCGAGATTTTGTTTAGATGTTGAGAAATTGTTGCTGTTCATTATTATAGTCCGAAATTTAACTTTGGAAGTTTTAAAAAGATCCCACAAAGTCTGGTTTAAAATTGTTTTCAATTTCTTGCAGTTAGGGTGGTAATTAAATGGTGACATTTATTTACCTAAAGATAAAACCGTTATTTCCATATGAATTGAAAAATTGATTTGAATTGAAATTCATGACTTATAAAGTAACATATGCCCTTTAATTCTTATTTGAAGATTATTTAGTTTCCCAGCCAAAATTCGCATCACCTCCAGAAGTTTATGATTTGTATTAAACTTAAAGACGATATGATATGAAGAAGAAAGTCATAATGTTTAACTAAAGAATACTAAATGAAACTTGCCTCTGATAAAATACGATCTAAGCTGAAACACCAAAGTAAGGAAAGAACTGGAACTAGACGACTAACACTAACATAGCAAACACCTCAAGTTTACTCAACACTCACAACATGTCCTCAATAGTGGTTCACATCCACATTGCAACGTGTAGACTGTAGATGTGTTAGATCAATAGTGAGGTTTGAAGTTTTACTCACTATAGCTCCAATTAAACTACTGACTTAAACAATAAAATTAATATTTTTAGTGTTCCACTTGGGTCACCAGGGTCACCAGGTTCACCAGGTTCACCAGGGTCACCAGGTTCACCAGGTTCACCAGGGTCACCAGGTTCACCAGGTTCACCAGGTTCACCAGGTTCACCAGGTTCACTAACTTCTACAAGACATAAGCCTAAATTGCCTCAGTACAGTGCCATCTATTGGATCACCTTACATTTTCTACGAGATTTTAATTGGAGTTAATTCCCGGATATCAAAATTTTAAAATCAAATCATGGATGATTTATTCTAATAAACAAATTTGTTGTACTTGTAGCACTGTAAATCGACAGTACGGGGTTGCCACATTGCAAATCACACATTAGATAATGCGCCAAGAGTGGGCGGTAAACAGATCGTCTCAGCAAAGCTCGCCTTGTGACGTCACCAGCCTTGTGACGTCACCAGCTCGCCTTGTGACGTCACCAGCTGATTAACCGACGTTGGATTTTCAACCGTCAACATAAAAAGAAACAGTATATAACTATATGAATAAATGTTGTCTTAGGCGAGGAAATCCTCCAATTTGCATTTCCTAAACGTGTAAAACCTCTACCACGTTCAAAGGTCAAGTTCTAAAAGCGACAAATCATTTCCCTGGGATTGCGGCAGTCTCGAGACAAGCTAAATTTAACACCCACGCGCTATTTATACGAGGAGAGGCAGAGGTCAAATCCATGAAAAACTGGTTGTGAAATGATTGCTGTGACGCACATTGCACTCTTTATCATAGCATCAGCTATATAGGCATGCTTAAGTCTTTTAATGTCGTATATGTTTCCTTGGACTGTTCCATTTCGTGACCTTTTTTAGTAATAATGTGTGCTTATTTGAATCTCTTGTAGACGTATTATTTATAGATAAATGTGGCAAATTTGTGTTAGAAAAATGGCATGGGCACGTTTAGTTTTACCAGAAACGAAGAAGAATTTTTCGCATTTATCAATTTACCGTTAAGGTTTTTTGCGATGACTGAGATCAAAAATTAACCGAATTAAAGTGAATAAAACAAAGCGAGGAATTTTTCATAAAAATAGTTTATTAGTAAAACTTAACGGTTTCATATTGTATTCATGTCAATCGTTATCAATATAGTGGAGATCGTCAGACGTCATAATATGTATCCTAGTCCTTTGGTTAGCATTTTATGTAAATGCGGGCCTACTAATTATCACGGAAGAGAATACACTGACGTCATAACACGTGGTGTGACGTCATAACACGTGGTGTGACGTCATAACAGTAACATGTGGTGTCACGGAAGATAACCAATCAACCATGCTCATAGTTTGATGTTGATGCATTGTAGATTTAATGAACCTCCCAATCCATCTTGTATAACACAGAAAACAACTCTTAGACACTTTACGTGAGAAAAGGTCCAGCATTTGAAAGTTAGGTGATTTGGTCCACAATGAGAAGAAGGAATCTTGGAAGAGCTCAGTTGCAGTACCTACACCCCAGCAACTTTATAATAGCCAATCAATTAAGTCTTCATGAATTATGTCATATTGACTGCTTGGCTCCATACTAGTTCCACGCTTATCAGCTGTAGCTAATTCCATAGTTCACCCCTTATTATCCCTTTTTACTGATCCAAGTTCCAACAACACACTGCCACCTTCATCTGTAACCATGATAGTAGATATAATATAGTAACACTACTCGTCACTTAATTGAATCAGTAACGGTCCCCGTTGTGCAGGTGCTGTGGGTACATTGAGTACGGTCAGTGCTAAATTTTGTACAGAACCCCAGGTTTATTGGGTAAATTGAGTACGTTCAGTTTTAAATTTTGTAGAGTTCCATAGGTTTATGATATAAAGAACAATTTATTTGGGTTTTAAGAATTGTGCAGAGCATGATATGTGTGTTATAACACAAATTCTAGAATCAACCGGTATCTTTTGTGCAAATAATACAAAATTTTTTCCACATGTCAACTGTGAGCTATATTCGTTATTTCATCATCCGTTCTGAAGTGCTCATAACTAAATTACAACTCCTACAGATCTGTCATCAGGAATTTGATGTGATATAAGATCATCGATGTTCTATGAGAAAAATTTGTGCTCTATTTCATTAACTGTTCCTACTGAACATATAACCAAATTACAGTCTCATCAGGTATTGTCCAAGAACATAGAGCAGTATGAGATCATAGATCTACCCCAACCAGTGCATACTATTGTAATTACGTGAACCAACGCCCGGAACATTTTAGCTATGATTACAATGTCATAGTTGAAAGTCAATTATCTTATAACGATCTGTAAACTGTGTAAAAGCTACAAAAGAATTTTATCACATACTCACATATGTCTACAGTAAGGTGAGCTAGTGCCGGTGCACTAATCAGCATGCTATCAGTTAGACTTTTCATTCCACATGTTCCGCCGAAGGAGTGTTGACTTGTTGAGCAGCCAGGTGTGTTCCGCAGAAGCAATATTAAGAGGTAAGGATCTGTCCTTCATTTCATTAACTGTTCTGAAGTGAACGTATAACCAAATTACCATCCCCCCAGTTATTGTTAAAGAATTTAAGGCGATATGAGATCATAAAGCGTGCAGAATCACTGCTGGGCTTTTAACATGTTTCCTATGATAATAACGTCACAGTTAAAAGTCAATTATCCTATAACGAGTTTATAGTGAGGTACACTAGAATCTAGTATAAATATGAGCCTTCTCCTCCAAGTAAAATCATTCTCAATGGGGGCTTAACAGCTCCGGATCTCAATGATAGCTCTTCATTCTATGATGAACTGTTGTCTTAGAGATCCACTCACCCCATTCCTCCCTCCCTCCCTCCCTCATCATAGCTTGCGTTTACAAAACTCAAAAATATTTCAAAATTGCTGTGGTATAGTTGATAGTAAGAGTTCATTTAGCGAGATCTGAGCCTATCTCCAGTGCCATGAGTCAGCTATATCAC